TTTGTACTAATATTTGGATTTGTCAGTGGTTCTAATGTCAGCTTGATACCAATCTGTCTAGGTTAGGTCAGCTCTGCGAAACTCAACGATATGGACGATAGGTACTACGTAGGCTGTTTTACGGTAGGAGGTTTTGATGTGTTGGGAAGCATTTCTATCGCTGGGGGCCTTCTTGATGTAAGATCTTAGTAGTGGCTATAGGGAAAGAAAGGTATTGGGGCGCCGCTCTTTTCACCGGACTTAGCTATCCATGTGGCTGCCCTCGCTGCCCTACTGTGTTTTATATGGGTCAGGATCAAAGTAAAGGGGTGGGGTTGGAGGACAAAGTGGTAGAGAGTGAACCTTGCAGCGTTATAAGCAGGGCAGGGCTAGCTTCTCCCTTTCCGCCTACTGGGTTTTGCCCCTCTCGCAGGGCAATCTGGGATTTCCCTTTGTGATCGACTTGTACGAATACTTCTGTTATATATGAGATTGAGGAAAATTGGTGGATTGAAGAAGCTAAGAGGCTAACATTTGATCATCGTTCATATGCATCTACATCTCATCAACTGTTCGATGTTGCTCTTAAATCAAGTAGTGGTAGTGGGGTATGAAGTTCAAATAAAGCCTGAACATATGAACGGGACAAGCCGAAAAGTATCGTCATAATGTCCATTTCTCAATCTTGACTTACTATTGTGCTATTTCATGTATCGCTTCACTACCAGCGATAACAATGCCGTATCAACAATAATCAATTGACCCACGGGATGTTGAAAGGACAGTTCATAACATAGAAATCTATACTACTTAAGGTCCGAGCGATGTCAATGATAACATACATAATGTGCAAATACCCCATTTCTATTTAATATATTCGGATCGGCAATTACCGCATAATACAGAGTACATTATCAGCGTTTCAAATAATTGAAACGAACATTGGCTTACTACATGAACGTTCTCTTTCACCAAGTTAGAATAATACCCAAACACCTTCCTAAAAACCGCCAACTGCGAATCTCATATTCTGCGCTCAACTGGATTAAATCTACAGGCGTAATTGACGCCCTTCGGCGAGCCAATGACAAGAAAATGGAGTCTGCGCCTGGGAACAAGCCAAAACCGTTAGAGAGATCATATCTGTCTGCGGCGGTTGAATCCATCTCACCATGGGGAGGTTCGCGAGCAACTACTCCTAAAGCAACAACGCCCACCTTTTCTGGAGAAGGTTCCGGTTTAAAGAATCAACATGGCGGAGATCACAGCACAAACCATTGGCATGGATGGAGCACTAAGAATTACCCTCAAGATTGTCCTCCGCTGAATCCAAGATGGTACCATGCTGTTGATGTAGGTATCCACATCTAGAATATTGAATTCCCAAGCTTACAAAATACAGATCCCCAAAAGAAAACCCAAGATTCTCAAGGCCAATCAGGAAGAAACTAAACCTGCCGCTCCTCCCAAGAAATTCGTCACATTTTCCGAGCACGATTCTCGCGCAATAGAAGCTGCGTATCAGAAGCTTGTCGAGGACTATGACAATGGAAGAGATCCGCGATCGAGAGCCCAGAGTGGTAATTTGGAACAAAGCTCGGGGAGTGCTGGCGAGAAAGGAAACACGAGTATCAATGAAGCTGGGAATAATGAGGAGGCTGATAGGAGTATTAAGGTCCCAGTACATGAGGATTTCTTATTCGATGTCGATATTGAAAAGAGAGAGCTTGCGCCGGTATATTGGCTCGGTGCGATATTTGATGTTCGCAGAGGTAGTTGGTTCTACCAAGAGGGTGCAGTTCTCAAACCCTGTGAGGAGAATCTGGCCACGCAACTTGAGGAAGGATATCTGAAAGTAAAACCGTTCCGTTATCCTAAACCTCCGGAGAAAAGTACTGCTAGACCATTATCTATAAAACCAGGGGAAGAACCCAGATCATTGGCCCGCAGTGGCGCTTTTGGGAGTAGAAACCGTAATGGCTCCCCCTCTGTGACTCCAAAGGGCTCGGCAGAGAATTTGAAATCGCCACAGCTGGCTTCTGATGATGGTAGTATACCAAAGGATTCGCCGCCACCCCACCAACCTCAGACCCATCGCTTGTTTGGCACATATATGAATTCTGTTGTTACCTATCAAGATGAGAATGTAGCCTGGATCTCAACTGATAACATCATGTCTCGGGTTAGTAGCACCGTGTATCAAAAGTTTGCGGGCGGTGGCTACCTAGGAGGTATAAAGGTTGTTCGTGGATATTCGGAACCAGGTAAAACAAAAGACACGACATCTGCCGACAAGGACAAGACACCGAAAACTCCTACTAGCGCCGCCGCTGCTGCTTCGACTACTCCAGAGTACCTCCAGCTTGACGATCGTCAGCAAAAATTGATCAAACGGCGGTCTGCACCTCCGAGCACAAGTAATGCTAATGCTTCGCCAGAAGATAATAGTACTGAGCTTCGGGAAGCAGCGTTCAATAAGCTAAACTCTATAGATGCGGATGCAGAAGCAGAAGCTGTGAGGAAACGTGATGAGAAGGAGATGCAGAATGATTATAATGATCGAGATGATGAGAACCAAGGGCGTGATATTGAGCATTTAATTCTAGTGACGCATGGCATTGGTCAACGCTTAGGTATGAGGTATGTATTCAAATTATTTTCTACATCTCATCTGCTTTTTTACACTAGACTAGCCCTTTTCATAATTCTAGGCCGTGGCTGTTTCCAACTCCAGAGCTATTTTGTATACTGTTTTTAGAGCTTGGAATATATCCACAGTAATCTAGAACAAATAGTTGCTAGATTTTGCCTTTGATCATTGAACGGAGGCCGGCTTTAAAAGACGATTCAATGACTCGAACCAATTGAATTATTGGGAAATTCGCATTTCGATCTTATCTGTCTGCGCTCAATTTCGTACATGTCTTTTGTTGTTTTGAGCAATTGTCAAATGATATGCTAATTCTCAATAGAACCGAAAGTGTTAATTTCGTCCATGACGTAAACGTTCTTCGGCAAACGCTCAAAAACGTGTACGAAAATTCTGCCGATTTGCAGGCACTAAATGCGGAGATTGATAAACTCCCTAAAAATTGCCGTGTTCAAGTTCTTCCTATCTGCTGGCGTCATTTACTTGACTTTCCTCGAAAAGGTGTCAGGCAAAATCGTAAAGAGCATGATCTTGGAGACGCATTTGGCGAGGAGGAAGAATATCCAAGTCTTGATGATATTACTGTGGAGGGTGTACCATTTGTTCGCTCTCTCATCACTGATCTTGCTCTTGATATTTTGCTGTACCAGAGTGCTTACAGAGAACATATTAGCAATATTGTTCTTACCGAGGCAAATCGAATTTATAATCTCTTCCGGGAACGAAATCCAGAGTTTTCAGGAAAAGTCAGTTTGGTAGGACATTCTTTAGGATCGGCAATCTTATTCGATATTCTTTGTCGTCAGAGAGAAACTAAGAAACGTAATGCAAACTCTTCGCATTACAAAAATCGGTCTGCCCCATCGACATCGTCACATGGTAAGAGTCTTGAATTTGAATTTGATGTCGAGGATTTCTATTGTCTAGGAAGTCCAATAGGATTGTTTCAGATGTTGAAAGGAAGAACTATTGCTGCTAGAAATCGCGTAGAATCATTACCATCCGAGAGTCCAATGGATATAGACTCTATGCAAGATCCATTTCTGGCAGCTAGCTCGGGTGCGGGCTTTCCATCTGGAGAGCACATTTCCAGTACTACAGGATTGCCATACTCGATTTCTAGTCCTAAATGCGTTCGGTTATACAATATCTTCCACCCAACAGACCCAATCAGCTATAGGCTTGAGCCTCTCATTGCTCCTGCAATGTCATCTATGAAACCTCAACTACTACCTTATACCAAGAAGGGTATATTCGGTGCAAACATGAATCAAGGTATCACTGGCATTGGAGCAAAAGTAGGACAAAGTGTTAGTGGATTATGGTCTAGTCTCAGCTCCGGCATTGCGAGTAGTCTCCTAAATCGCAGTCTCGGTCTCACGGGCGAAGATGTCGAAAGGATGCAAGCGTCGAATTCATCAAGTATCAAAGGGCAATCCGCGGGCGCGGGAACCAATATCGCAGGAGGAGTTGTCCCAGACCATCCTTCGCTTCAGAGAGAAAATACCAGTGAGAAGATGAGACAACTTGCGGAGGATACGGCGGCCGCTGATAGAGATGGCATGGGTACCGCGCCTACCTTGATTGATGATGAGATTGAGACGTTGTATGCTGGGTTTCAGAAGCGAAGGAAGCATGATATGCCTGATACTGATAGGGCGGAATTGGAAGAGAAAGCGAGGAAGTTGAAGAGAGAAGAGGCGAAAGTGAGAGCGTTGAATAATAATGGACGCGTGGATTTTAGTATTCAAGAGTACGTTTTTTTTGTTGTTTGTCCTGATATTCTGCTTCCCCTCATCTGAGGTTTTTGGGGGGTTTCACCAAGGTAAATGAATTTAAATAGAAATACTAATCCATGCGTATCAAAATAGGAGCGTACTAGATTTCAACCCAATCAACACCATCGCCAGCCATCTCTCATACTGGTATGTTTTCCACCTCCCCATCTCCCCTCTTTTTAAATACACAACGCACGAAGCGCAAACGGAAAAAATCATATAATTGACTGACTCACGTAAACAGGGCCGACGAAGATGTATCGCATTTCCTTATCGGACAACTTCTCTCGCGTCATCGAAGCGTGACGCGCTTGAATAATTTGAATGATCTGAGGGAGAGGGAGAGGGAGAGGGATGGGGATAGAGAGAGGGATAGAGAGAGGGATAGAGAGAGGGATAGAGAGAGGGATAGAGAGAGGGAAAGGGAGAGGGAGAGAGAGTGTAGTACTATGTATAAGAGTAAGAGGAAAATATGAAAATGAAGATATGAAAAATGTGAAGATATAAAGATATAAAGATATGAAGATGAAGATGAAGATAGAAATGAAGCAAAATAACCCTCGATCCTATTATGCAATAATGAAAGAAGGAAGATGAAAAATGGAAATAGAGAAGGAAATGGAAATGGAAATAGAGATAGAGATAGAAATGGAAATGGAGATGGAGAAGGAGAAGGAGAAGGAGAGGAGAGGAGAGGAGAGGAAGAGGAAGAGGAAGAGGAAGAGGAAGAGGAAGAGGAAGAGGAAGAGGAAGAGGAAGAGGAAGAGGAAGAGGAAGAGGAAGAGGAAGAGGAAGAGGAAGAGGAAGAGGAAGAGGAAGAGGAAGAGGAAGAGGAAGAGGAAGAGGAAGAGGAAAAGAAAAAAGGGTAAATTATTTAAGAGTTAGGTCTTAGATGTTAGTTATATATGGTGGTGGTGTATGTATGTATGTATATATCTTTAGTTGTATATATGTATGTATTATGGAATGGATGGGATATGGTGGGATGGATGAGATGGGATAAGGTGGGATGGATGGGATATCGTGGGATGAGATGAGATGAGATAGGCGCAGGCATTTTTGGGAGTTATATTATGTTGTGTTATGTTATTACGTCATTGTGATATATATATTTGTTTGAAGGAAATATCATTTCGATTGAAGAAGATATATCTTCTTTGATACAAAGTAGATAGTGAGCGGATGGATAGATGAATTATAGAGTAGAATTCTTTTACAATTAGACGAAATAATGTTGCGAAAAAACACATCAACAGTTATCAAGTCAGGTCATACATCATCACTCTCTTTTACACACAAATGGAATCAAATATAGTGTTAATTATGTGCTCAATTTGGAATTTTTAATACTAGTAACTACCCATGAAAACATATGACCACATTTGTATGCTGCTGCTGACCTAAAAGGAAGTTGAGATTATGTTGCCAGTCCAAATCTTGGCTCGAGTCGTAGAGGTCTCGGGGAATCGAATCTAGAAACACAATGGTAAATTCAGGCAAAGAAGGAAATATCAGCAGCCAAAAGACACAATAAACTTTTTCCTGCCGTGTAGAAGCCTCAACCTAGGAAGGACCTGTTTACTCGGCGGTGTCCAGTTCATCATGCGCTGGTGGAGGAGAATCCATGGTAACTGATGGGTATCAGATGAGTTAGAGATTGGGTCGTAGTGGTAGTTTGAATGATGTGGATTCACCTTTCCTGTCATCTCCATTGGCTCCGGGTTCACGGACATCATCACGTTCTTCCTTAACTTCGCGATCCCTATTACAAGGCGGGTAAGCTTATATCCAACTCTAAATTTCTTCTAGGGTGCTTACCTATCGTCTGGGCTACGTGAGCGATCGGCTCGATCGCGATCTCTTCTGTCGTAGTCCCGGTCCCGGCGGTCTCGGTCATCCTTACGGGGAGAATAGTCGCCACGGCCACGTCGGGGAGAGGTTGAACGACGACGAGGAGAACGGCGGCTACCTCCACCACGCTCTCTGCCGCTATCTCTACCTCCATCGCGACGGGCTGCACGTTCTTCACCAGTATCGAATCGCCAAGAAGCCGAAGGAGGTGTGCGGGCCCACTAATTCATGAATTAGAAATCGCCATTTTTGGTGATGTCATGAAGACTTACTTCAATCTTCAACAAGTCGTCGCGACCGATACGCTTGTTGTGCATTTCATGGTAGGCATCATCGGCATCACGACGGGACTCATACTCAACGAAGGCAAACCTACTTTAGGTGTCAACGATATTAGAGTGGTTACCAATAAGATATCGGGCATACTCACAGACGAGATGCTGCAGTTCGAGGAGCTGGGATATCACAGCGGACCAAACGGCCATAGCTATGAAGATATCGTTAGACTCAGTGTATCATCGAATGGGGAATACATTGGACAGATATATGGATGAAAGTAAGAGATGTATAAGATTTGTATAATAAATAGTAATCGATCCGCCGCAATTCGAACTTTTCTCGCGAGACAAATGTAGGAATGTAAACTGTTCGTATCGTTGTGCGACCGCTCGATCGAACGTGGAGGATTTGGGAAGAGGGGATAATGTATGCGACAAAATTGACGGCGAAGTCTCGACGGAGTAAGGGACGAGGATGGACGATGATGGGGAAATGGATTATCGCGATCAAGGACAATCATCGAGATATCGATTTTTAGCTGACATACCGTTCGAATTCGTAGGCAAGATCGCGAGCACGGATTCCAGCTCCGAAGCCCTAGATGAGAGATGTTGGTTAGTATACACTTTGAAGCTTTAATATAAACATATAAGTTGGTGTGTGGAGGTTGTGGAGGTGGAGCGCATACGGTGACATAGAGTGTTGTACCACCACGAGACATTTTGTTAATTGAGAAAGATGACGAGGAAGGCCAATCAAATAAGATTTTCTTCACTACTCAAGAGCTGACCGATATCGATTCTGATATCTAGTATGCGTTCAAGTAGGTGAAAAGATCAATCCTGATATTGTAAGTGCGATGGAGAGGTCGAGGAAGAAGATAAATTATTAAGTAGATTTGGGTGGTAAGGAAATAGAATAGAAGAAGCAAGCTTAAAGGAACCGAGACGACAAGAAGACAAGACAAGATTAATGATGAACCTGGGAAAGTCAATTAAAGTTTTTTGAGAATCAGGCATTCACCTGCGAATAGGTCATTGTTGCCCGATAAAAGAGGCACTCGAGAGACCGAGGTTCGAGTCTGGATATCACATGACCATCAACACATCAGAGATTGATTGGACTGGCTTGGTTTGCTTTCGATCTCTTCTTGTGGGTACTAGGTACGTATACGGATGTATGTATTTATTTACTCAACTCAACTCACATTCATTTCACATTCATTTCACATTCCAGTCTCACATTGATTGTTCCACATAAAATTAACCCAATCCTATCTCTATTGACAACATCCTCTTGATCCATCCATCTCTCATACTTCTATCGTTTGGAGACAACTTCTGCCAGCGTTGTCACCGTTGTCGTTGCTCCAAGCATCGTCAAGAGAGAAACATCTTTGCCAAACTTCGTGAAAAGCCAATTTCGAATCTCGGCCGCTATCATACTATCGATTCCATATTTATTGATTGGTGTCTCAGTGTCGACTTCATCGAGATCCACGTACAGAAGCCTCGAAATCTTGTGTCGGATGCGTTCAACAATACTCAAACCTTCCGATGGATCTCCAGTCTCCTTGCCCAATGTCGTAACACCCGAAAGCATATGCGTAGCTTGGACCAAGTTGCGAAATCGTGGATCAAGTGACCAAGGCATGTCGTCGATGGGATACTTTTCATTGATCTCTTGTAGCCCTGCAGGTTCAATTCCCACAAGAAGATGCCCTTGAGCCAGGGGATCAAATTCGTACGCTGTTGTTTGCGAAGCAGGACCGATTCCAGCATCGCAATATTGCAAGAATTCATCCTCGTCGTTACCGTAAAAGCCGTTGCGTGTCATAGCTTGCTGGTATCTAATTGTGCATCGTCAGAGATGGAAATATGGTTGACTTTTTCATGTCTACTTACTCGGGCATATAACTGACGATTCCGATCCCAAGAACTTGGCTAAGCGATAACGAAGTAGCAGGCAATCCCAGGCTTTGTCTGTAACGGGCAAATGCATCCATGAAAGCATTGGAAGAGAGGTAGTTGCTCTGTGTTGCTGTGCCAAACATCACTGTCCATGAACTCCACATCTGAAAGAAGTCCAAAGGCGAATCTTTCAGGGCCTCGTGAAGATTCAGTGTGCCAATTACTCGAGGGCGTACTGTGGACTCGAATTGATCAAGGGTCATGGAACTGAAAAGTCCGTCCTGTCAAAAATATTAGCGATCGGATTTACCACGCATAGCAGTGAAGATAGTCAAGGCTTACATGAAGTGTTAAAGCTCCTTGTATGACACCCTTGATTGGTAGATCAGTACTGCTGACTGCCGATTTGACATCCGCTAACGATGCAACATCACCCTGGACGATTTGAGTATTGACGCCTTGGAGTCGAAGCTGGCTGAGAAAAGTTTCCGTGTTCTTGTTTGAGTTTCCGCTGCGAGAGAGATAAATCAGGTTTCGAGCACCTCGGTTGACAGCCCATCTGCTGAACGAACGGCCCAGACCTCCCAGACAGCCAACTAACAGATAAGCTGCATTTGGATCAAATTTCGATTTGAATGGACTAAATCGTACCTTGTGATATGTTAGTACTAGATGCTATTTCTGTTCAGCGTCGCATGGGAATATTACCTTGAGTCCAATGCTACTCTTCTGTTCATACCCGACAACAATCTTCCCAATATGGACACCTTTGCCAAAAGTCATGAGAGCTTTGTCAATTTCTGAGACATGGTACGCTGTGTATGGTAGGGGTCGAATCAGGCCAACACGCTTGAAATGGTCTAAGCTAGTCATTAGGCTTAAAAAAATTAGCCTCGTCAAGTTACCTCGTTTTGAATGGTATAAGGGTGTACTTACTCGCCAATGACCTTTGGCCTCAAGCTACTCATTACCTCCAGATCGAAAGAAGCGAATGTAGCAGTTCGTTGAAAGACATCCAAGTTGAGTTTCCCCTTTTCTAAAACCTCCGTTCGCCCAATCTCAACAAACCGTCCCATAGGTGCTATACAACGCCAATAATCATGCATCATCTCTCCCCGAGCACTACATAATATCACATCTATTCCTTTCCCTTTGGTGTAATCCCAGAGACTTTGCGCTGAATCGGCATCACGCGACCAGAAGATGTGATCTTCTGTGATCCCGTAGCCCATTTTAAGAAGCTGTTCTTTCTTCTCCTTTGTTCCGACAGTGGCATAAATCTCAGCTCCACACAATCTGGCGATTTGGATAGCTGCCAGGCCAACTGCTCCGGTTGCGGATTGAATCAGTACAGATTCGCCCGATCGCAATCTTCCGAGATCGATGAGCCCGTATATAGCAGTGCAGAACGCGATAGGCAAAGTCGATGCACTTTCGAATGTATCTTCGGGTTGGAGCTTTTTACAGAAGCAAGCTTTGTCTCTAACAAAGTTCCCAAACTTCGCAAACGATTGACAATAGACTCGATCTCCAGGCTTCAGATCTTTTACAGAAGCCCCAATCTTGGTTACAACACCCGCACATTCGTCACTAAAAGTATTGGAGTGATGCCGGCCTGTAACAACAGCTATATCTTTGTTGTTGATACCAGCATAAGCGACTTCTATCTCAACGCAATCATCGGCAAGAGGCTCTGTGAAGTCTGGATCTTCTTGAAAGTGGATTGTGCTCAAGACGCCAGGTTTGTCAATGGCCAACTTCAGAGGGGTGGATCTCATATCTGCAAGCTGAATCTCTTGTGTGGAAGTTTGCTGACTCCCTTTGACCTTTGATTCTTCGTTCAAAGCTTCATCCGGAACTACACGACTGATGTAAACGATGCCGTTCTTTTGTCTAAACTCTACGTCACTGTGTAAGCCTGCCTTATTCGATATTTTGTCCTCATGGTTCAGGAGCAAATCAAGGTCTTTGCTCTCGGTTGGATCGAGTGCATGATCAACATCAAGCATGGCTAAATTAAGACTGGCATTTTCAACCTTGAGTCCACGGGCAAGTCCGGAAATCATCGCAAATTCAGGATTTTTGCCCTCTAGAAGATTTCCGCTTGTCACCCATAGGACGGAACTAGCCTGTTTGAAATAGTTTTGAAGACCTCTCCATTCAGAAGCATTGATTTCCAGGAACAAAGGCCTTTCGAGTTCAACAACGAATAATAGCCGCTTGTATCGAAGTTGTTTGCTTTCCGACAATTCTAAGAGTTCTGCGGGCATGCCTTTCTGTTCAATGCAGGTTTTGAGGGCAAGAGTATAGGCAGATGGAGTGCTGCGATAAATCTTATAGTGGAATTAGCAAATATCGTGGCATAGATGTACGCACTCAAAGTGATATCAAAACATACCAATGTTATCCCTGGTTGCGACGATGGCAAATCTGGATTTGGTGCAAGAGACGGCTCGGCAGCAGTTGCACAAATAACTGTTGCAGAAATATGATCACCTGCGTAATCATCCAAATGGAAATCAAGTCCCTTGAATCCCGCTTCTGGTAAAACTGCACGCCACATAGTCTTGCTTAGGAATGGTCCGTTGCGTCGCGGGAACTCTGTATCAAGATCACCCTTCCAGAAATCCGAGAAGGTTCCAAGGACCAAACCGGCACTCAAATTTGATCGTGTCAACTCAAGCAGAATAATCTTTCCCCCTGGCTTCAATGCGCTGCGAATATTTTCGAGAGTTCTTTTGATGTTTGAGGTTGCGTGGATAACATTCGATGCAACAATCAGATCCCACTCCGGCTGATATCCCTGCTCATTCGCGGGCCTCTCCATATCAAAGGCACCGAATGTCATTCCAGCAAAGTCTTTGAAAGTATCTTCTGCACCAGCTAGAAAGGAAGTTGTCGTATCTGTAAATCGATATTCTGCATACTGTCGCCATACTGTATTGCCTTTCAGCGCAGGAAGAATCTCTCGCGTAGCACTACCGGTGCCTGCTCCAACTTCCAAGATCTTCAAGTTAGGTTGTTGATGGGCATATAGTGCGGCCATAGAAGCCAATCGCTTATTCCCTTCCTTGTAAACTTGGCCGCTCTCGTAGTTGTCTATCAGCAAGTTATCTTGTAATGCGACCTGAATTCCAGTCTTTCGGCCTGCGTATATGTCTGAAAGATTGTTGTAGAGATGACACATGAGCCGACATTCAGATGATTTTGGTTTTAGGTCTGCTGCAATTTTCTCAATTTTCTCTGCCCGCTGTTCATTTGTGAGGTTGGAGATCTGGTTTGCAGGCGACAGAGGATCATTGCGCATACGATCTAATTGCTCAACCGTCCATTCGAGCATGCGTTGTAGATGCGGAACCTCTGATCCTTTGGAGAATATCTCCTGGTGTGTTTCCCGAAACTGTATAAGTTGATACAGCGCTAAAAGATTTAGAGATGGCAGGACTGCACTGTCATCTAACGTGATGGGTGGGAAAAGTCTCGATACAAGATCATCATCAAGCTCTTCAAATAGTGGCTTCCAAGTTAATCGCAGATAAGGACTGTCCTTTTTGCTAGATATCAAAGAGCTCTGATCTGATGCAATGAGGAGGATATCTTTGGCTTCAAGGATCTTGCTTTGTGTGTCGCCAAGCAGTATCAAATCTGCCACCAACCCTCGTACCCCTTTCAATGCACCTCTAGCGACACAATGTGCAGAGGCTTTTGTGGACTTGGCTACTTTTGGCCAAATTTTGATACTGCCGATGCTGACAGGCATAACCGCCTTCTTGAATTTGGTAGCAGTGCTTGAATGTGAAGCTACAATAGAGAGTTGCATTGCTGCATCGAAAGCTGCAGGGTGGATTACATAACGAGACTCTCCCGCGATTAATTTTGCTGTCGGCTTCAACGGGATCTTCGCCCCGGCGAGTCTCTTTTGATCCACCCCTTTTATAGAAGAAAGACCCTGAAACGTTGGACCATAAATTAACCCGATGGAGGCAAATTTTTCATACCAAGGGAGGCTTGGTATGTCCTTTAAATCTCGTCTTGAACTATCTATCTCCTGCAACAATGAACTCGCCGTGGGAACTAGTGTTTTATCAGTCTTCTAGGATACAAATGGATTAATCGCCGAGCCAATCAAATGAAAACTTACCATCGGGTTTGAAATTGACATGAACAGTACCCCGACAATGTTCGACAAAGTTGTCTTCTCCATTCACACTATCTACCGAAGTAAGAAGAAATTCAAACCTTGAATCGTAATCACTGTTGGTATTCAAGCTAGCCTTTCGCAATGTGAAAAGGATTTCGATGCCTCCGTCCTCTTCGGGGATCACCAATGCCTTTTGCAAACTGACATCCTGAATTTCGTAGGATGATATTTCTTCTTCTAAACCACCATTGACTTCTACCGCCTGGGTTGCTGCTTCGATGGCCATCGCAAGGTAGCCTGTGGATGGGAAAACTATCTCTTGGCCAACCTTACGACATTTTGTCAATTCAAGTTGAAGGCTTTCAAGGGCAGGAGTGGACTTACTCGATGATCCGTTAGCCACGGAAGGTCTTTGTTCCTCAGAATATTTCTCCATGTCGGTGCGTCTTTTACGCCTCCCGGAATTCGGCTTCCCAGAATGTCGTGTCGCGGATGTTGCCTTTGGCGCCACTCGCGCGTGTAACGATTCTCAAGGAGTAACACATCCGAATACTGCCATTGGTAGTGTGGGAGGTCGGTAATTATCTTACAGACCTGCCCACAATCATCAACCGGACACTTACTCTCGTTGACACGCGTTAAGTTCACCTTGTGTCCTTTTGTAAACAGCATTCCAGCCAAGGTAAGAACATCAGATGCGTTATCGTTGTTCCGTACAATAGCCGTCAGGTATTCGGGAAATCTGCCAGAATGGTTCTTTGAAATCTGTCGGAGCGGGCCTTGAAGTGCACTGTGTGGCCCTATTTCAACAAGAATATCAACTGGCACCGATGTGACTAAAGCTGCAACAGCTTCGGCGAACAACACTGGCGACTCCATGTTTTTTCTCCAGTATGAACCATCTATGTTGGCACCTTCGTCTAGTGCACGACCGTACACGCTGGAGAAGAAGGCTGCTGGCTTTGGAGCTGGTTCTTTCGAAGGCTGAGCTTTGATAACTTTCGGGTAGCTCGGTTCTTCATATTTTTCAATACTGGCTTCGTATTCTGGGCCTGCGAAAGTGGATAAAGTCAACAATTGGCGAAGAAAAAAGGTATCAATTTGAGATTGCAATGAAATACAGGCAGGGTCAAATCCGCCCAATCCTTTACGAAAGTAGAAAGAAGAACAGGACAATCATACCAAGAGGCTTCATATGGTGGGAGTGGTACGCATTACCACCGGTCGAAAGTAGTCTTGCAAACTTCTTATCCCCATCGAGGGCTTCTTTGACAGAAAGTAGCGCAGTTTTGTCGCCACTGAGTGTAACACTTTCTGGAGAGTTGTGGCATGCAACGATAACTTTGCCCTCATTCTGGCCAATGTATGCGCGGACTATACGCCGCAATAATTGCATTCCTCTCTGTGATCAAACCCGCTGCATAGCTAGCAGCAATCTCGCCTGTAATTAATTAGCAGTCAAGCAAATAATTGGGATGTAAGATGTATACCAGAAGAGTGGCCAACAACCGCCGACGGCTTAATACCCCAGTCAGCTAGAAGATTAACCAAAGCTATCTGAATGGCAGTGACAAGAGGTTGAGATAGCTCTGCATCATGTATATTGGATTTATCTTTTGGTTGCCGAAGAGTATCTGTAACAATTAGCAGCTGCCAGTTTCACGAAGTGTTCCACAAATACCCTCAATGGTCCAGCTTCTACCGTCCTGTAACTCGTCCAGATACGCATCTAAGGTTCGGATGGTGTTTTGGTAAATAGGAAACTCGTGCATCAAAGTTACGCCCATTTCAGGCCACTGCGCACCTTGACCTGGATGATGTTAGACTATTCTCGATTTTTTCAGTATGAATAACTACCTGTGAAGACGAAACCAAGAGTTGGAGGGTTTGAAGAAATCTTCTTAGGTGTGTGTACAAGTTCCGCAATCTGATGGTCGGTACCAGAACTAGCGATCTGAAAGGTGCGATGAGAGAAAAGTGAGCGTCGCTCACTGAGCGTGTATGCTATGTCATTCAAATTCCAATCTGAGATGTTATTTTTGAGAGCAGAAATATTTGCTGCGAGAGTTCTCTCGTCATGGGCTGAGAACGGAAGAATAAACTTGTTTCGATGCATGTGAGTCAACTTTTCTTCGCCATTTTTAACTCCGTTTCGATGTACTTGGGAGTCAACCTTGTTTGCATGAATCTGTCGTGATTCTCGGTACCAGGGAAGTACAGAATCGACGGACTCAATAACTGTTTTGCCATTAGATTGCAATACAAATGGTTATGAATCGGGATCCTTGGTTTATACATACTCGCGTGAGCATTTGCTCCTCCATATCCAAAGGAATTGATACTCGCTCTTCGAACTGGTAAATCGGGCCACGGTGTACTTTCCGTCACAATTTTAAGCCTACCATCCTTCAAATCAACTATTCAAACGTCAGTTAGAGCTGAAAAGGCTGGGTTTGCGATTAACTTGCTATTAGGATTGAGAGTCTTCAGGCCCACGGTTGGTGGAACAACTCCATGCTCTATCGCGATTACAGCTTTCATGACGCCTGCGATACCACTCGATGGCTCACTATGGCCCATGTTTGATTTTATCTGAGGGGTTCAGCATTATAGTCACACATACGTGAAGAGTGTCTGTGAAGACATACAGATCCCATCAAAAGAGGCGAATCTCTTGATTTTGACTTCGCAAAGACGCGGCCGATTGCTGATATCTCCAATGGATCGCCAACTGCAGTTCCAGTACCGTGGCATTCGAAATATCTATCAGGTGATGAGTTGATGTTATCGAAAAACAATATGTAGATACGGGAAATATATATACCCGGTAAGTGCAGGGTCTAAACCACCGGCACGTTCATATGCTCTACGAATCACTGCTTCTTGACCATCGGGGCTTGGATGCGTAATTCCACCAGTTCTCCCATTTCTATGTTACTCTTTAGCTCTACGCGTATGGTTGTGAAGGAGTGAAGATTCTCACGCGTTGATAGCTGTGCCACGAATAACAGCTCGAATTGGATCCCCGTCCTTCACTGCCTGAGCCAGACTTTTGATGTATAAAGCACCAATTCCATCAGCACGGGCATATCCGTCGGCTAAGGAAATTTAGTTACATGTTGAGTGAATGGTATGACGAGAGACTGGGATTCTTACCTGCAGCATCAAATGTATGGCAAACAGATGTTGGTGAGACAGCTCCAAGTACCGAAGAAAACAATTGGCATTCTGGGGTCAGGATTAAGTTTGATCCCCCAACAACAGCAGCAGTGCACTCTCCTGTTTGAATTGAAGAACAAGCTAAATGTAAAGCATACATTGAGCTAGAACAAGCTGTGTCGAGTGTCATGCTCGGTCCCTTCAGATCAAAAATATAGTTGACACGGTTACTCAAAACCGTAATCCCGCCACCAGTCACTGAATATGGCTGCGGGTACTCGGGGTCACGATATTGCATGAGCTGGTGATCGTAATTGAAGTTTCCGACAAAACAGCCGGTTTTTGAACCGGCCAATTTATGCATTGGAACTCCTCCAGACTCGAAGGCTTCGTAGACAACTTCCATAAATTTTCTTTGCGCAGGATCCATACTCATCACCTCCCTGGGATGTATTCCAAAGAATGTATGATCAAAGTTACGGACATCAGATTTGAGGAATGCGCCTCCCTCTGTGTAGAAAGATCCAGGTCGGTTACCATTTGCATGGTAGAATGACTTGGTCTTGATTCTATCTTCGGGAAAAGCACTGTATGCAGTTCTTTTGGCTTGCAAGAAATCCCAAAGCTCGGATGGAGACTCAGAATCGCCGGGCCATCGACAACCTTCACGTGGTTAGCAAAGCTTAAGCATTGGGGATAGTGTATAGTACTCATTCCAATGATAGCTATCGGCTCACACGCCTCAGGTGAGAGGTTAAAATCGATTGGTAAGGATCCCATCTTGAATATGTTTTTTTGTGTTGTGGTGTTGAAACGGAAATTTTTTTCAATTAGATTTTCACACGAGAAGTTTATGAAATTCTAGTGAAGTCTCACTGTTGTGAGAGAGCTTTTTTCTGTTTTAATAACAGAAGTTTCGTACGGAGAGTATCGCAACTCTTGTTTACAACTTGATGATGTTACTACTGATCATCTTTTTCACGATACATGTAATCTTCGGTCTAAAGAAGCGGCTCACTATCATGACGATCTTCAAAGCCTCAATGAAGGGATGACTGCATGCAGATAGTCGCCAGTGCTGCTGCCATTAAGGCGAAACAGCCCCTTGCTGAAGGAGTTCGAATTTAGCCGATGGTTCGTGAACTTAATGCAACACTACTGATCATGATATTCGATTGAATTTGTTTTAACATCTTGACCAATGGCCGGAGAGAGAGCTTCAGAGCTGTATTCGAAAGTGATTCAAGTGTGCTAAACTATACCTAGATTTTCCTCGTGAGATCGCAGCACCAATGATTTTCGAAGCTTCCATCTCCATCTTTACATGATATGAAAATAGCAGAATGTTTATACCACACTTCGAAATGAGGGGGTTTTCTTTATCGAATGTAACGTCGTGGAGGCAATTGTAATGAAATGATTCACTCTCGTCCACGGATGTCCAGAAACAATTTTGGGGGGGAGTGTCTGACTGCATACATGTCAGAAAATCCTACACGGCAGGGAAGTTCTGCAAGTAAGAATCTCTTATGGACGCAATGTCCTTTTGTCCGAAACGAGAAAAATCACGATGGCATGTACAGTTATCCTGAGGAAGGTATGTGAGGAACTTCATGGTATGATCCCATTTCAATATTTTGTTCTCTTCTTCTGATCTCTTCCAGCACTCTTCATTTTGCTATCAATTCGTCTAACAAACCTTGATGAGGATTTGACGACTTTTCACGAGCAAGATGATCTATACACGCTTTTTAATACTCAAATTTTCTTTATTTATTTTATGGTTCAGTGCGGGGTGTACTGCACACGAAGAGAAGAATTTGAATGCGACTGCCAGCATTCCTCTCCCCAATGATGGAGTCCAATCTCCTTTAATCTGGACAAACACAGGAGACGAAGCTCTAGATCTTGTTTATCTGAAGAAGTCTATCCAAAAAGAGCTCAAAAACAGACTGTCTCCGACCGCCGAAGTTTTGATAGACTCAGACGAAGATTTTGTGCACGCCAATGTACGATATTCGAATTACCAACGGCCTACGTATATTGCTGCGGTCAAAGTTTTCGAAGAGGCAGATGTGGTAGAAACGGTGAGAAATTCTGAACAATTGTGCCATATTTTGCTCACGCTCTTACAGGTTAATTATGCTAGATTGAGGGGCATACCCTTCGCTGCCCGAGTTGGGGGTCACTCTCTCACTACATCTCTACGAAGAGTCAAAAATGGCATCGTTATCGATTTGCGAGGACTAAATAGCATCACATTTGATTCCGAAAAGCAGCAAATCACAGCTGGTGGTGGAGTACAAACAGGACAAATGGCAAATGCTACCTATGCTCGTGGCATGGAAGTCAGTGAGTTATACCCTTCTGATACACCTGTTCTGATATTAATACGTGGTATAGCTGTTGGATCGTGTCCATGCACAGGACTCATGGGAATATCTCTTGGCGCAGGCATCGGTCGACTACAAGGTATTGATGTTAATTTCTTAATTTGAGGTCATATAACTCACTAATTCTGATAGGGAAGTATGGTTATCTCAATGATAACATGGTTTCAGTCCGCCTTCTACTTGCCAATGGCACTATTATTCAGGCCTCAGAGAGCGAGAACACTGATATATTTTGGGCTGTTCGGGGTGCTGGTCACAACTTCGGCATTGCTCTCGAAGCTACCTTCCAAGTATATCCGCAGCACAACGATGGAAAGCACTATGTGGTAGATTTTGAGTTCGAACTCAAATCCCTCGAAGAAGTTTTTGAGGCCTTGAATGAAGTTTCCAATCCGATGCCTAAGGAGCTTGCTGTCTTCGTTATTGGCCGTAAACGTGGTCATAGCCCGACTGGTGGTGTGAGTTTTGTTTCCGCCGTCATCCCTCTGAGGTTTATTCTACGCCTTAGCAACACTATGACTATCTTTAATACTGATCTTAATAGTCTACCATAAACGTGAACCTCGTGTGGTCTGGTCCCGAAGTAGACGCTAAAAGTTACGTTGAGCGTTTTGCTAGTCTCTCCCCCGTGTGGCGCGACGAAACGGTCGCCACCTGGGATGCTCTTCCTTGGGCAACCTACAATGGTTTGAATAACATTCTATGCACTCCTGAGGGATGGGCTCGCTTTCCCATCAAGAATTTCTACGCTGCAAATGTTAAGAAGTATGATATCGCTACTATGCGTTCTTTCCTGGACGGATGGAATGACATGAATGCTAAATATGACGGTCAAGCAATGGTCAGTTTTATGTTTGAATCATTTGCGCAACAAGGCGTGAGAAAGTATAATTCTGATAGAACTGCTTTTCCGTGGCGACACGGGGCAGATCATTTTCTGTAAGTGGTTTAATCTGAACAATTCACTGCCCGTGTCTGTCACCACTTTTTAAATGTCAAGAATTCATATTCTGATCCTTGACATTTCACATCTTACAATTGCTGAAAAGGTGTATAGAATGATGGAAATTGCTTCCAAAACACCAGAAAATGCCGAAACCTTCGATACCTGGCTCTCTGAACAACAGGATGCCTTGATCGAAACGTCGGGCTTTTTTCGTTTACACCAGTATGTGAATTATGGACACGGATCCAAAGATCCACCCGAAGCTCTTTATGGATACGAACCTTGGCGGCTGGAAAAATTGCGTGCTTTGAAGAAGGAGCTCGATCCAGAAGGGTGCTTCAATGGGTATCAGCCCTTTGTAACTGAGGATCAATTAACTTGAATATAACAAGTCTTGGATCTGAGGGAAGTTTGCATTGGCAGTGATAATTCCAAATTGGATTGCAAGGAAAACAAGCCGTGTCGTGTGATGCAAAGATCTAGCAAGGTGGCTCATTGCTTGCAGAAGTTTTACCTAAATCACACTGTTGCATATGAGCCGTGTGGCGGATAGTATTTAAATAGTAACAACGTTACACACGTAAAGGCTACATTTAACCACAAAGAGTAATCAATATAGTGCAACATGTAGGAAATAAGGGTTTCACGGCAAGAAATACAATTCTATCGAAACTTTTTGAGAGATTCACTCTTGGGATTGGAAAAAAGATGGAACACTGTCAACCCAGCTATCTCAAATAATTGAGTAATTAATGTGTAGGACTCCCAGTGACTGAACCAATTGAATAGACAGGAGGTCGGTACATGATTGGTGCTTATTAATTGTCCAGTCAACATCAGTTCTGCTAACAGGATTATATATTTGGTATTTATTTGGAGCTAACAATACAACCTAAGGATAAATGTTGGCCAGGTCCCTCATTCATATCACATTCAATTTGATGAATTCGCACTCAGATTACGTATCTAAAGCCAAAGCCGAGTCTGTTAAGCCTAACTCAAAAGTCGTATTTGTTTGATTCTTACTCAAAACCAAGAACTTGGCCACATTTGCCTGTTCCGCCGCTAATGGATCCAAATTATAGAATCCGATTACATCGGTATTCAGTTGATTTAATGTCGGATTGCGAAAACTGAGCGCTGATTTCGTTTCATTGAGACCGGCGGCCGGGAACTTCCCGATGCGAGCAGTGAGCGAATCTACTTCACTGCGCAATTCCTCTGCAGTATCGTAATAGTTGTTGAAAAGACCTAGAGCCTTGCCGGTTGGACCATCAAACGTTTTGGCTCCAAGGAGATATTCAAGTGCAAGGCCGCGGTTCATGAGTGTTCCTAGAAAAAGTTGGCCACCGCCACCGGCAACAAGTCCAAGAGCATTCTCAAAAGAACCGGCACGGGCATTGGGCCCTGCGAAACGCATGTCCATTTGAACGGTTAGCTCTTGCCCGGCCCCAAATGCCCGACCGTTCATCTCCGCGATGAATATTGTGGAAGTTATGCTGTTGAATAGATTTGCAACTGCGATGTACTGCAGGGTAAAAGTTTCCTTTTCGGTTGTGAGAGGTTGCTGAATGGAGGTGACGTCGATATGACCCAAGAAATAATCGGGGTTGGCACTGTCGAATACAACGACTTTGGGAGGAGGGGTAGTACGATTAGACGGCTGTAGGGACTCGAGAAAGTCAAACAAGTCCGAGATGAGGAATTTATCGCAGAGGTTTATCGGAGGATGGTCAAAAGTGACGCGCGTGACGTTTGCATTTTGTTGAAATTGGAGTGTCCCATATTGGGATGCTGGAAGGGCAGCAGGTAGGGTTGCCCTCCCGATTGTTGATATTGACAAAAGTACAAGTGTGGATAAACGGGACATTCTTGATTGAATCATGATTGCGTCGGATTATGAAGATTGCAAGTTGGAATATCAGGCTTACGAGAAATTCAAGCACGTTTAGATACAGAAATTGATGCTGAAACAAGCAGGAAGCTGGACTCTTTTAAATTGTCAATCTCTATCCCAAGACTCACAAGATACAAACGAACAGACGGCACAGATTCTTGCCAAGTACACGGTATGGTGGAAATACTGATTGACCTAGCCAAAGAAAGTTTGTGAAGGATTTTCGAAGGATTATTAGTTCTTAGTCCTTAGTTCAAGTCATTGCATAATCTCGAGCGGTGTCGAGAGTATTATTTTCAGTATACTAAGTGTATTGTAGTAGAGATGATTCAATGATAATTACAAGGTTGTATCTCACTAACTAGTGGTAGTAAGCATATTTTCGACACTGAATCCCACTAGAAACATGTGGAAATCTTGGAATACACATACCTGAGAGCGTTTGAAGCCCTGGAGTAGGCAACAATTGATACAACTCTGAGATATGGAGCGCTTGGCTTGTAGTCCGCCGGACTCAAGCAGTATCAAAACACGCCTTCAGTATGATTGGGCTAGGTAGATAATTCTTTGCTGACGTAGATTTGTATCAATACAATATATCCATATCCTCGTAAGTATGAGAAAGCTAATCTCAGCCACTAAGATAATGTGAAGTAATGTTCTAACATGAGTCTTAATGTCAACTTTTTTTTTGCGTGCCATGGCAGCCCGCGTTTCTGAAGGATTACAGCCAAAAACCACATCCTAATCATGGAACATCCTGAAAGCGGTTTGTGTGTTCAGCTGAGATGACAAAGATATGACTTTGTGCTCTTGATGCCGATCAAGAATTCTAAATAAGATGGCTATTTGCGTGATAGACGGGAGGTTCAATAAAATCTTTCTAGACTAAAAGATGACATTGATGATGGAATCGGAAGGCGAAGCTTTACCAGGCTGTCAGATCAACCAATTCCATTGCTTCGGACCGTCACAGGCCGGCAAGTATTCGATCCGAGTCCATTCGGGAGACGTCATCATACCATGATCATTTCATGCCGCCTGACCGCATCAAGCTTACATCCGGGGTGATCTGACATGACTGCCTGACTGCATAAGCGATGACTCTGACTGCATAAGCGAACGCCCTGACTGATCTCCAGCTAATATCTCGACAGTTCTCGGTAAACATTGAGGATAGATGTAACCATACCCAGGTGCCCATTGATTGTTAACCAATTTTCGCAACACCGAACTACGATGTGAGAAAGCCTTGCTTACTGGAGCGGGGGGGCCGCTTTCATTCAAGTAAGTATCTTCCCTTTCTAACATGTAATATGCATACTGAATGAAACCTTACCATTGTTTGAAGTCATGTTGTTCGAATTTATCCTATGTGGAAGCCTGATTGTAACAGCTTGCGGTACTTCGACACCTATCAAATCAAATACCTCTACAAACTCATGTGTGCAACTGGCAGCTGCTTTGCCAGGTCAAGTGTATGATCCGGGAACAGTGAATTACACTTCAGAAACACAGTGTATGTCGAACGAAAAAATGCTCCCCCAACATTATGCCTCCAAGAATTGTTAATGAATATCCAGTTCACTTTTAGATAAGATAAGTGCTGACAAAAACCTGGATATAGCCTTTTTCTCAAAGATAGCATGGCTCAGCCCCTATTGCGTCTTCTCACCCTTGACTTCGGGTGATCTTGCCACTGGTGTTAAGATTCTTGCCCGGACCAATACTTCATTTGCCATTCGGAGTGGTGGCCATGCGGCAGTGGCCGGCATCGCATCTACTGATTATGGGGTTATGATCGCGACAACAAGTTTCACGGAAAAGACACTTGTTCCACTACCGAATGACTATGGTGTACCATATCTAAGAGCCGGGGCTGCCTTTCGCTGGTCGGACATCTATGAGTTTTTGGAACCATACGGCTTGATCGCTGTGGGTGGCCGTGTCGCTCCAGTTGGCAGCTCCTTAGTTTTAGGAGGCGGCCTTAGCTACCATGCTTCTCTTTACGGATGGGCTGCTAACAATGTTGTTAACTTTGAATTGGTGACAGCAAATGGAACTATTCTACAAGTTAATGATGCTACTTACCCAGATCTCTTTTGGGCGCTCAAAGGTGGTTCCAATAATTTTGGGGTCGTCACTCGTTATGACCTCAAAACATATAAGAGCGGACTCGTATTGTAAGTTGTGATTTTACTATTTCTCATAAACCGATGTTCGCAGTAAGATGCTCTGATAAATTTTAACATAATATTCATCCCAGATAAAAGACTGATACTTTCTTTATTGCAGTGGTGGTAGCGTTCAATGGGGAGCAGAAGCTACTCAGCAATACCTAGATGCATACACTGCTTATATAGCCCCAGGTGGGGGTATCGATGACGCAAATGGAAACTTGATGCCCGATTTCAGCTACAACCCAATGACCGGTGCTGAGAGCTCTGGAACCGTTTACTTTTACAATGGGAATAATCCAAGTCCCAAAGCTTTCGAGAATTTCACAGCTATACCAACGGTTTCTAGCGAAGTTGGCATCATGAATTTCAGTGCTATTGTGAGCCAGACTGAATTTTTCGCCTCTTTGGTCAACCGGTAAGACTATCGACCATCAAAATTGTACCTGAACGAAATTAATTCATGATACACAGATGGAGCTGGTACGATACATCCATCCTATTCAGCAATGAAACGTCGGAGCTCGTTTACAACGTTGTCGTTGGTAATGCGAAATTGCAACTTTCCCAGGTCAATTGCACAGTTGGATTTGCATTAGAGCCAATGACAGTAGCCATGCAGCACGCAGCGATTGCTAGCGGAGGTGATGCCATATCGCTCAATCCATCCAAGGGTAATTTCTTGGGTAAGTCGCCATCGATTCCAGGGGACTTAGAAGACGATAAAACGTTCCAAATGATGAGCGGAATGGAATAACTAACACTTGATAGTTGCTGAAGTTTACGTAGACTGGAGCAATCCAAATGATGACCAGATAGTGAAGGCATTCCTAACATCTACAATCGCAGAGATAGAAGAGCAAACGAAAGCTAAAGGGCTGTACTATCCATTCAAGTGGCTCAACGACGCGGGAATTGGCGAAAATCCTATTTCATCATATGGTTATGGTACCTCGCTGTCTAAATTGCGAGCCATTAGCAAAAAATATGATCCGAATGGCGTTTTCCAGAAATTAGTTCCTGGGTTTAAGTTAGGGTTTGATTTCGCGGGAGTCTAGATAGGCATGATGAGCATGATCGTGAAAGGAAAAATGAATCTCGTTATCTTGGATAACAATGAACAATAATTTTAGCCATCAATGAACTTCAGTTGCGACCTTCCAGTCAGGACTCAGGCGTGTTTAGATGCGCAGGTGGTTCTATCCCAATTCGTATGGCTGGCGATTGTGCGTACAGACAAGGTCATATGTGCTGGCCTGTATAGGACGATACCGATGTTTTTACGGAAAAGTGTCGAAGAGCCACGTAGATAGAGTTATCGTGAGTAGGTTTGTAAGGATATATCGTGGCAGAGGGTGGTGATTACAGGGCTCAATTCAATCTTACGTAGTGCACACCACGTGACATGCAAACAAACGGCTTGCCAGTCCCGTCACCTGACAATAATTTGAGGTGCAAATTAAAAATCCACCTTAAATTTGATTCTCAAGTTGTGGTCAACTTATTATTTGTCGACTTATAAAGCAAGCCTACTCCGTGTATATAAAGCTGATGCTACGAACGTCGACAGTCTCACGTGCGCGATGGGCGAACCATCATGTCGCGAATTTGAAATGGTGATACGAGCGATATAACATGTCGTCGCATTGACTGTGTAAGGTTGAACAGACCGACTAAATTTCAAGGCTACAAAAATATTACCTTTCACCTGGCCCAGAAACTTATCTCAGGTCCACGCTCCAGACTCGTAAATACATCGAATTGCTCCATGACCACATTTTCATCCACTCCTAATCCTTTATATTCACTATCAGTCCCCACGACCTCAAACTCAAAATGATACACTATCTTTGCAACAATATACGCCATCTCCTGAATCGCTAACCGTTGTCCAATGCAATGTCTTGGACCTACCGAAAACGGTTTGAAAGCCATTCGAGCTAGGCTCTGACTTTCCTCGTCATTATCCAACCATCTCTCGGGCATGAACCTATGCGGCTCCTTGAAGTAAAGCTCGTTGCGAAATAGTGCGAAATTCGATACCCCCAAGCATACACCCCCTGGGAAATGTATTCCTAATACCTCGATGCCGCCCTCGCAAACAACACGCGGAAGGGCCGTCGGAGCAGGTGGACACAAGCGCATCGCCTCGTCAATGCATGCACGCAGGTATTTGCAATTCTCAACATCGAGGACGCGAATAGAGGTGCTGGATGAGAAGGTGTGAGCAAGCTCGGAGCGGAGACTTTGCAGAGCGTGGGGGTTGTGGAAGAGGTAAAAGAGTGTGGCTGTCAAAGCGGTCGATGTGGTGTCGGAGCCTAAGTTTAAATAGAAGGATCACGTTAGCTAAGTGCGGACACTCTTATGTTGAAAAGTTAAATAAAGCAGAAGGGGATAAAGTCGAGGTAAGAACAAACCAGCCATCATGAGGAGAATCGCTTCACCGAGGAGCTCGTTGTCGCTGTATACCGAGGTTGTCTCTTCATCGTGAGCATTGAGCAAATGATGCATGATATCAGAGCTGGTGTTATTGTTGCCTAACTTGACATGGGAATATATCTCCGTTTTATCGATCCTGTTAGTCTCCTCGCGATGTTGATGGGCACGTTGTACAGTGTATGAACGCGCATAGTCCGCAAGCGCGGTGTTTGCCTTGGCCATTTGTGGGAACAAAATCCGGTCTATGTATAGCTTTTTGAAAAGTGGCACCTGTGATGTCTGGATTTTTTGAAATGATTAAATTCTGCTTCCCGAAGGAAATCGGGGACCGTTCTTACCATGTAGACACGAACGGCACGTTGGTGGAAACTCTTGACAAGTTTTTCCCCTTTTCCGCCAATACTTGAGATCAAATGTCAGCATACATTTGTTGCAATATACGATGATTTGAAGGACACGAAATGTACGAATCAGAAGTACGAGAATTGTTACGGAGTACTGGGGAGGGAACACGAAATCCCACAATTTGACTTACAAGCCAAATGCAGCACCGAAACAGAGATGTCCCATTATATCCAGCATTAGACAATTAGCTTCATAAGCCCAGTTGAAAACACATTTCTGATCCGATGTTACTGTCTGGGCGGTGTTTGATTTTGTATTTCCTCTCATTAATTTTGAGATCAATTCATCCACAGGCTGAGAAATAGATTCCTCGTAGGTCGCAAGTGCCACATCCGAGAAACCCTTCGCCATAATACGGCGCTTTCGTCTATGGGCCTCTTTAGAACTTGTGTTGAACGTGTTGATGGCATATTTGTTCACACGGAATGCTGCATATGCCTCTTCTGGCTTCGCCGTATTCTTGTTGAAGCCATATATTTCTAGTAGTACGTTTTAGCACTATATCCTCTTTTATTGTGCATGGGGGAATACCATTCACAGCGTCAGAGTCGTTGATGGACAATTTGTTTGGCGCGTAGCGTACGTATTTGCCTGTAAAATAGTTAGCACTAGAAAGAACATTGTTATCGTTCGAAGGTACAATACCATGTTTGAGATGTAATCGAAAAAGGTGGTAATGAAGATCCCCCTTCCAAGCATGGTAGAGGACCGGTAAGCTAGACAACCGTGAGAGTAATGGTCCGGGGTAGCCATTAAGTGGATGGAAGAACAAGCGACTGACAGCACAATACAAGACCTGTTATTATTTCAGCGCTATTTCCACCATTTCATTTAGACTCCCCGTAGCTGTATAAAGCCTGTGAACCTTGGAAAGGGGTGATTTTACCCAACAGAATACGAGAGTTGGAAACATGAAAACAGATCTCGTGACTTGGGCGTATGATAGATCCATCTTGCTGTGCCTCAATCCAATTTCTCAACATTCTTAATAATCTTATAAGTAAAAGAGTTGCTAGTTGGGCCCTATTGGAGCCCCGTAAGCCATGAGCTATAGGCTGAATCCAGCCGCAAATTAATCAAACAAGGATACTCTGACCACAGTAGTTGGCCGCTGCTGGCTGTTCCATGCATCATATGCATGCAGTCACTGTAACATTGGCCATAATACCGGACTTAGCATTAAATCCATAGAGTAATATTGAGTCTGATAACCTGCAAATTGCTTTCAAGTGATAACTTGGATCCATAGCGGCACTTTCAAGAGGAGGTTCAAACATTGGAACTTGTTCTGCATAATAACTAATAATAATGATGTAATCTGGTATGAATATTGATTCATTCGTTCCATCCCTCTCTTCCACATCTCGGATTTAATGGACTTAGGACTTAGGGTTTCAAAGCGCATCCCTATTCAGTCAACCTACCGCCCTGAGACGATGTAAATAATGAATCAATTTACTTTTGCTACAGTGCGTTATCTACCTAGGTTTTTCTCTGAAGTGAAAGCAAAGCTGGCAGAATACAATCTCGTCAACACAGCCCAGCTCCTACGTCGTGGAAGATTTATCAATAGTCACAAGGTCACCAACGATGGCTACTAGCAGCGACGAGGAGAAGAATAAACGAACAGATGCAGTTTCCCCAGACTCTTCCCCGGATGCGAAGGCCCCACTTCACGAGTCCACTCCACGGTCTCCACCCACGCCGCCAAATGGCGGACTAGGCGCTTGGCTGTGTGTACTTGGTGCATTTTTTATATTCACGAATACTTGGTATGTATATGTGATTTTTAGTCTTGAATCCATTACAATATATATTTATGTTGACTCATCAAATAAAGGGGAATCACAGCAAGCTTTGGAGCTTTTCAGTCTTATTATATCACCACTCTGCCTGAGTCTGCATCATCGATATCATGGATTGGCAGTATACAATCGTTTCTGGTGGTCTTTGTTGGCATTGTATCCGGGCCATTATTTGATCGAGGTTATATTCGTATCTTGATGACCACTGGGTGCTTCATGATTGTGTTTGGAACGATGATGCTTAGCCTCTCTACGAAGTACTATCAAATAATCCTCTCCCAGGGAATTGTCATTGGCCTAGGCGCCGGTCTAGTTTATATTCCTGCACTCGCCATCATCTCGACTCAATTCACCACAAAACGACCATTTGCGATCGGATGTGCCTCCTCAGGATCAAGCATAGGTTGGTTAACACTCATCTGGCATGGCACGACCGGTACTAAGTGAAATTGACTAGGTGGAATAATCTTCCCAATTATGTTTCGGAGATTAGAACCAAAGGTTGGATTTGGTTGGGCTGTCCGTGCCATCGGCTTCATCAGTCTCGGCACACTTGCTGTCTCCCTCGCCATACTAAGCCGGCACAAAAGGCCAAAGTCTGCGACTAAAAAAGCTCTTTTCGATTTTAAAGCTTTCACTGAACTTCCATTCCTAGGCTTCGCCGTTTCTCTTCTTCTCATCTTTGTAGCATTCTACATTCCCCTCTTCTATATCCCTTCCTACGCCATTTACAGCCTCAAGATTGACGAAAATCTCTCCTTTTACCTCTTAGCCATCACCAACGCCGGTTCATTCTTTGGTCGAACGGTTCCGTTCCTGATTGCCAACCGCGTCGGTTCCATCCAAATATTTGTTTTTTGGACTGTTGCCGCTGTCATCGTAATGTTCTCTTGGCTGGGCATACACAATGAAGCGGGCTTTATAGTGTTTTGTATTATCTGGGGATTCATATCTGGCGTCCTCGTGACAGCACCCGCCGCAGCGGTGGCACACCCAACATTATCACCCTCAATGAGTGTCATAGGAACTCGATTAGGTATGAGTTGGATCACAGCGGCAATTGGAATTCTCATCGGGCCACCTATTGCTGGAGCTTTGGTGGATCTCGATACGGACTATTTTGTCAAGGCTATTGTCTTTGCCGGGGTAGTGATGGCTGCTGGAGCAGTATGTCTCATGCCTCCCCTTCTCGCTGCCATGAAATACAAACCAGTGGAGAATTGAGAACGTGGTTAGGAGATATTTGCAAATTGTTTCGATGCTCTCCTCCCGGAAAGATTAAAGCATCTATTTGGCTAGGAGAGCTTAAATTTGGGTTTTTGCCTGTCGTAGATCCGCAGGTCATAATATAATTCCATAGATACACTGCTGGCCGGTCAGTATATTCGTGTGCTAGAGGATGATTAGAGTTATTTACTTATCTTCATATTGACTTGTGAGTTCAGAATTTTGGAACAACCGATCAAGTCAAATCAACCTCTTCTACTTAAGTCTTGCCTAAATCGGTGATTTAACAAATATGAACATTTGAAAATACCCATCCCCAATTCAGCCACAATCATTGAAGGTTCTCCTGACATGTTAAGAAATTACGAAGTGGCTTTTTGTTGTTCCGATACGATTAGGCAATGTTATGTTGAATGCAAGGCGTTCGAGACGATAGCTCCACAACAGTGGTGCCACGTAGATATCTTCGCACATAGCCACTGTTCCTACAGTACTCGTAGAACCATCCAATCCAAATACTCGTTCGTGTCTACCTTGTGCTTCCGTTGTGCTTGCTATGTGCCTCTATAATTGTAAATAGATTTGAGTCTTGATTGAGACAACATCATTCGATCGTTCAGAGCGACCGTCTCTAAAAAGTAAAGGATCAGCAACGTAGAGGCTCGATACTGCACATAATACCCTGAGGCAACAATACGCGTCTTTTTAGTACTCAATGCGAGCGAGCGAGCCAATGACAAAATCCCTCTCTGGTGCCTATATAGATCCCGGTGCACAATAAACCATTATCCATGACACCTTATTGGGTATTTGTTTCCTTCAATAAATCCCAGCTTCAATCAATCAATTGAAGAGACAGATAGAGCTTGGGAATGGCCAGGGCGTTAATGGTGGAAGGGCTGGGATATCTATAAGACATTGATCGGTCAAGGGGAAGCGAAAGAGAGATACACCTCGTATCATATCTTTTCAAGTTTATATCGATTCAAATGATTGGGGGTTTACTCATAATATCGACATGCTCTAATAGTGCAATTCCCAAAGTACAGTTTGTATCGTAATTCGTGTCAAGTACCTCTGCTATGTTCAACGCGTTTGGTAGGTCACAAACCCGGTGGTTGTGCCAGTGCAGGGGTAGCATACTTAATTTGAGATAAACTCTCAATAGTATTCAGGCAACACATGTTGTTGTCGTGAAATTGACTCTTGATATATATCCGGAATCTTCGAGCTTCCCCGCATAGGAAGAAGTGGGGGTGGATAGTGAGTAAAGTAGCTATCTGTATCACTTGCATAAAGTCGGTCTCTATAGCACGCTAATGAACCGGCTTATCAGCCTACTTTCTTCAAGGTAACTCGTGTAAGAAAGGGTGAGTACGATATCGGCTCGGCCGACTCGGCCGGGTCGATGGAACCGTAAGCAAGTATGGCAGGGGTATTGACCAGGGAGGAACAATGGTAGTGGACTTGCCCACGTGTAAGAGTATTTGTGAAGTAGATGTAAGACGCGGAGAGAGATTGGAATAGATATAGGGTATTCAGAAACGAATTTTTTTACAACGCATCAATTTTCAAAGCTTCAGATACAATTCGCAATCCATGAAAATTCGAGGTATATTGTTGTCCATCGCAGAGCCTCTAAACAAAGGCGCGTAAGAATTGTCGCTAAGCACTTCTGCACGCCCTACAGACGTAAAGCTAGACTCGTCAGCCACTACACTTCTAAAGGTGCTGATTGCTACCGAAGCTTTCAGACTCTGGCTTTCTCACGCAGAAATTCCGCATTCCCACGTCATTTCAGCACACATTAGTTACACGGGATGTGGACGGGTAAAATAGTTCAAGGTGTTCCGTTGCAACAACACACGAAGGAAGCTAATATGGAAGAAAAGAAGAAGGGTTCTCGCCCGCTCTTAAACTATGCCTCCGACTTATTCGCCTCACAAATGGGAACATTATCCCGAAGGAACTGATACCCTGAATCCATTCCTTCGAATCAGGGAGCCACTTTACAGTTAAGAGCATCCAATAAAAGTTAATACTATACGATTCCTCGCACTCTCACAAACTCGATTTACGATACAAAGCTTAACTTGTCCCCATATTATAACAGCCTCCACACCATATAACCTGCATATTATTGTTCCTTGTGAAAGCTTAACCCTATAGACATGTCCAACCCGATCCAGCACAATGAAATGTGGCCAGTTCCGAACTCGGGTCCAACTCCAACTCCAAGTTCAGAAAATGAGGAAGACTGGACCCAAATTACCGAGCCAAGGATGAGGAAAAGAGTTCAGAATCGTTTATCACAACGCAAGCATAGTGAGGGCCCTCGAAACTGCAGGTCGATTTTTTTCAACCGCACAAAATGAAGACTTGAGCAAAGCTGATAATTGGAAGGACAAAAATCACGCGCTGATTTCAATGCTACCCAACACGAAAATTTCTGGAAACAACAAGCTCCGCTGGAAAGATTATCACCACCCGGGTTGGGCCCTCTAACAAACAACTCTACTCCTCCACAATTTAATTACAATATTTCAAGTCCATCATCATACCGGCCACCCTCTTCACGAGAACCCTGCTGGGATGATACCATTCAAGTTGACAGCATCCCACAAGAGATATTCGATGCTAGCTATGACGACTTCGACACTTCATTTCCCCATGCCACTTCAATACTGGAAGCAGGGAATTGTGTGCCTTATACAAACAATTCAGGATCTCGGGCAATCGATCCTCTCGTTGATCTGGTATCACAACAGCAACCGCTCCCAGAGATTAAGCACTGCATCTCGAGATACACTACTCCTCATGACTGGGAGCTAGCCGACCTCAACAACATCTATTCGACTAATGCGGCAAATGCACCGATCTATCGTATTACAGCTTCATCAACGCCGCCAGAACCTGATCTTCAGTCACCGTCGTGGCAACTAGACGATATCCCTGAGGCTCAAAACAGCATCATACTTCCCCCTCAATTGCCTAAGAAGAATGAACTTGAACACTCAGCATGCTCACTATGCGGGTGTCATAAGATAACACCTCTAGACAAAACCCATAGTTCCATTACGGCTAGCAACAAAGTTCAATTAAGGCCAACAATACTTCAGCATTCTGGTTCAGAACTACCATCTTCAAGTTCTCTAGTGCATAGCCACGCATTGTCATCTACTCTCGCCTCAAGTAGTGGCACGATAGACACTTTGCTTACAGATGGACTGCCACTAGATCTGGCCGGGTACAGTCTAGTCCTCGTCAAGAAACCACATATTACCTATTGATACTTGGTGGTCACAGCACAAAGAACTACGGGCATAGCTCCAGTTGCCAATACAAGCTCGTTATTGCATTCCCACTTAGATAGAGCAGTCTTTTAGTAAGTCACTCGGAGAGACCACTACTGAGATTTGCGATCACCAAAGAAGCACAAGTACTTTCAGACTGCAATTGAAAACATGCCTTGGAGTGCTGGCGGTCTTGGGCATAGAAACCAATTCAAAGCATGAGAGCTACTTCCGTGGTCGCCGCGGTATTTGCTTGAAGATGGCTAAGACCAGAATGAACATAAAATGACCCTTGGTAGAGCACTAATACTATTGGACTACAATAATCTTATGGCCTCCGTATACATAGGCTCGTACTGAATAATGAAGGTCTCTTCGCATTGTACGTTTCTTACTGATGGCCAGTCAATCCGTTATCCGGCCCAGAAGAAGTAGAATGCATCTTGAACCCCCCCCCCCCCTTTTTTTTTAATTCTTATATGTGTAATATCTCCATGTATTTCAATGGATTTAGATAAAACATATTCTCAAACCTTTCATGATTTAACTAACATCTTATATTCTGGTTGAGTCATTGAATTTCGATTCATTTCTTTTGCTGACCTTGACTCTACTATGCGACATGAATCTCCTCGCTACCAGTTCAGAATGCATAAAGAGAGTTTACAAGTCGTAGAGCTGCGTGCGACGTCCAGCTCCAGAGAATGGTCCACCCAGACAGCTTTATGAATACCTAGGTATTTGAAACTAGTAATTCCCTGATGATTGGAAGAGGAATTTCCAAGATAAAACCAAACATTCGAATACTCTATGAAGTAGCAAGGTTCGTGAGATCGTTGTCAAGTCATTCGATTCAAGCAATTACAAACACAGTCTAACAATTTAATCTTTAATATGATGGACGATTATAATCCAATTTTTGGTGGTTGAAAAGAACACTTGGTCATGTATTGACTATCACACGGTGAAAGCTCTAACAAAAATGAAATATTTAATTCTTAAAATATTTTTATTTGAGGCCAAGCATTGGGGCCAAGGAAATGTAAGATTCGCTTTTCAGTAAGTATGTGAAACCGACCACGGAGGACGGTATATGATACATGGATATCTCTTTGGTCACTTAACAGACTCGTAGATTACACCGTTCAGCTGAAAGGTGGGAGCCAGAATGGGTATCCGCCGTTCTTGATACGGAAAACGCTAAGTAAGAAGCTGTACATAACGAAGATAACTCCACTCCATACGAGGACTGCGACTTGCTGAATTTTGGGGTCTGAGATACGTGGAACTTTGAGAGCCAAAGAGATTGTTGCAAAGGACAAAAGCCCATCTGAGAGAAATGATCAGTATTGTCGCAAGTAAATATGTTTAGGTATGGAAGGGGATTTCTTACACATAGCAGCAATGATTTGTGTTTCCAATCCATATTGATTTGAGAATCCACCTGCAAAGTAGCTGACACCTCCACGTCCGTCACCAGCAACGTATGGAACTTTTCGAATGTGGTTGAACATATGACCACTGGTGAATAAAAGGATGGCAATCAAGCTTATTGCAGCCCAAACATTTCGGTTTTGAACGACGGGTAAGACATATGGCCATGCAACACTGATAAAGGTGACCGTTCCTAGAATAGTAGTGGTAACTGCGCCAATACGGAGCCAATTGATGGGTCGTTGGACTGGAGGATGTGGTCGATCGGTGAGATGTCTAGTAATCCAAGAGTGCACTTGTTCAGCAGTTTGAGGGCCGTTTGTAAAGTCGTATCTCACGGGGCCATTGATTGTAGAGGCATGAGGGCCAATCGTAGGTAAAAACAGTAGAAGGACGGGAGCAGTTTGTAGATTAAGCTATCCAGCAATTAGTATCGATTGATTGTAGTTTCGTAGCGCTAAACATACAGATTGGAAAGTGCTTTTGCCATCCATGAAGTCAAGTGTTCCATAGAGCAGGCGAGATTCTCCTTGCTTGTCTCCTTTGATCCAACTCTTTGACAGTAGATCCCATTCTGGTTGAAATTCACGACATAACTGGCAACCAAATCTATTTTCTAAAGCTGTCAACAATACGGCAACAGAGTAATCTCTTGGTGCAGTGGTCAATTTGCTGTAGACACTATCATCGAGCTTCAATGGGGTAGATGAGAGAGATTTGGTATGGTATCGTTCAAAGTTATCGACCGCGGGCTTTTTGGCAGCTAGAACAGCTAAAGGTAGCAAGGAAGCTACCAATGCCTTGAGGAAATGCATCTTAAATAAAATGCAAGGCCAAGATGCCTCTAAAGGTTGAAATTGGTAATGTCGATAGCAGAGGATAATCGAATGATTGTGACCAGTGATGCTTTATCGAATAAATTGAAGCATTCAAGATATCATCACCAAACACTTACGAAGCTCGAAGCGTGTCCTTAATTCAATTCGGTAAGTTCCACCTCGCGGGGCCATGGAAATCGTATCACAAGTATGGTGTGGTTCTAGTATACATTTATGCCTGAGGCTATATACTTGGGGCAAATCACGTCGACCCGGCAACTCATCTAACGCTTAGGGAGACTTTGTTGACTTCCGAACGCGATTGAACATTTCGACCATTTAACAGGTATTTTAAAACACATTTTATTTTCATAAGTATAATTTTAAAAATGGATCAAATATTGTCATATAATGATGATGAACACATCGAGAGTGTACGTAGGATCTTTTATTATTGTTTAAGACAGATGGGAGTTTTCGGGGCTAACACAAATTTATAGCGATTGATGAAATCACAATGTCTCGAGTTGGCATATCAGGAAGCACTTCAAAACACCGAATTAATCGTAAAAGATGAAGCAAGTAGGCGATTGAGATTACAGATCCTCTTGTTGGAGAATGAGGCGGATGAATTACACCTTCAACTGGCAACCGGGGATGATCGAATTGATGGGTTAGAAGAAGAGAATGAAGATTTAAGAGCACAACTTGACCAGGCTCAAGAGGATATAAAGAAGGTGGAAACGGATTTAAGACTTCAAACACGAGAACTCAATAACATCAAAGTACTTAGAATCCCCCGGGTATATCCGATTGTCATACTAATTCATGGCTGTACAGACGGAGCTGGAATCTATGAGTGGATTGACGATGGACTCGACAAAGGTTCTGACCGAAAAACTGGCACTCAGCCGCGAGTTATCTATACTCAAACCAGAGTTGGAGCATTTACGTTCTCAAGTGGCACATCAGCAATCGATCCTAGCAGAGAAGTTGGCACTTCAGCGGCAAGTTAGCACTTTAGAGGTGGAATTAGAGACAGAGCGTCGGGCCTTGAGCCGCGCCACCGAGAAGAACAATGACCATTCAAGGGAAAGGGAACTCCAACAGAAAATTGAGGCTTTGCAGAAAGACCTTTCCGAAGAGAAGCGAGAGAGGGAAAAGGCCAAGAAAGAAATGTTGAAAGAAGCATCTACTGCCCAAAAAGAATTCGCACAAGAGAAACGTGAAATCGAGAAGAACCACAAGCTTTCAGAAAAGGAAACGGAGGCTCTCCGAAAGGAATTGGAGCTTCTAAAGCGTAACAGTGAGAATGCACAAAAGGCTGGGGAGAAGGAGATAGAGGCTCTTCGAAATGAGATAGAACTATTGAAGAGCAGCAACGACAAGGGACAGAAATCTGGGGATAAGGAAATTGAAGTTCTTCGAAAGGAGTTTGCGTCTACGAAGCGAGATATCGAAAAAGCACACAAAAATACCCAAAAGGAGTTGGCCGCTTCTCAAGCTCAGGTGGAAACTTTGGAAGGAGAAATCGAACAGCTTCGCGACAACGAGAAAGGACAGGAAGGTGGAGAGAAGGAAATCGAGGTTCTCAGAAAAGAATTCGCCCATACGAAACGAGACATCGAAAAAGCTCATAAGGAAACACAGAAGGAGTTGGCTGCTTCTCAGGTTTTAATTGGATCCTTGGAGAGCAAGGTTGAGCAGCTCCGCACAAAAATGCGAGCCGCAAGAGAACAATTGAAAGAATGTCAGGCCGAATTGAATGAGGCACGTAATGCAGCATTGAAACTCCCCGCTATCACAAGTCGAGAAAGTGTTCCAGTGAAAGATTCTCGCAAGAGATCCGCCAGGGAGATGAGCATGGATATTACTATCGGAACACCAGATGGAATTGCAGGGCGCGGAAAGCGAGCTGGAGCGAATAGAGGTAGAGTTGATCAAACAATTTTGGGAGAAAAGTCAACATTTTCCATTACACCCTATCTGAACAAGACAATCAACATGGCTCCAGATACACCAGAAGATGGACAATCACCTGAGGATAAGGCTAAGAAAGTAATGGAGCAAGAAAAATCCACCAAGGGGGACCAGATTCTTGAAGAAGAAGAGGAAACACCTGACTTACCTGCACAACAAGTCAAGCCCAAGCTCAAGGCCAGAAAGAAGCTAGCCGATAACTCTGGCGACGAAAAAAACGTGTTGTCCGAAGCAAAGACTAGTACCAAGAATAAAAAATCTGTGACCCAGAAACTCAAGGAATCACGTACGCTGGGAAAAGTTACAGAGGAGGAGGACGGAGACGAAGATGAGCAACCTAAGAAACCTACAGCTCGAAAAACCAAAGCACGACCTATGCTAGAGAAGGTTGCGGAAGAAGAGGATGTGGATGAAAATGAGCAACCCGAAGAACCAGAAGATTCTGAAGAACGAGAGACTAAAAAGCCTGTGAAAGCTAAGATCAAGGCTATTGAAGAGCCTGAGTTAAAGAAGAAGAAACGTAAAGTTCTCGGGGGTGTCAGTAAGACACTATTTGATGACGAGGATGGTGAAGCTCCTAAGAAACCAGCGAAGATTGCACTTGGACCAGCGAGATTGCTTGGTAAAGGTGGTCTTGCTGGACCAAGGGGAGGATTGAAGGGTGGTCTTGCGGCTGCTGGTGGATTTGGAGCATTCTCGCCTTTGAAGAAGGATCGTAGGGGTGCTGGAGCAAGTTTCTTGGCATAAGTGTGGAAATAATGAAATCATTGGGCGTTTAGGATAGAGAGAATACAGGCTCACGAGGCGTTGGTGTTTTGTATATGTAGGTTATGAATAACTGCATGATTTGTATCCAAAAAATGAAATTATCTTCTACTTGTAAATGTGACAATATCTGGGTGTCTCATTGTATGACCAAGTAATATCATACCGTACGTATACTTTAGTCTACTCGTAGGAATAAAAAAAATCTTTGCGCTCTCATAAACACTAATAGGGAAAATTTTGTATAAGGCCACCAAAAAATATTTCAAATTGACAAATTTTGAGCTCATGCGATAAATAAAAATTCTTCAATCTCAATCTCATCATACCATACACACCCGAAACCATTCAAACTTCCCACTCACCAAACCAGCCACGAACGAACGAATTCTCTGCACCACATACCTAGGTAGTAACCCAATGCTATGCTACCACCTCGACTAAACCCCACACTCTTGACCTCGGGCCTTGGAATCCTCCCTCGCCATCACACATCTCTTCCCGCGCTGCTCAATCACCAAGCGGGGTCGGCGCTCGCGCGGGGTAGATTTTGGGATTTGCGAAAGGGGGTTGGTTTTTATGGTGATAATGGGGTAGGGAGAAACGCACACGTATACGTACATGTACATGGACATGTACGCAACGCCTCGTCGTCGTCTTCGTCAACGAGATGGAAAAGTCGCCAGGGAAAGGATGCCTGGGCTAGGGAGGCGAAGGTTAAGGGGTTGAGGAGTAGAGCGGCGTTTAAATTGTTGGAGGTATGTATGTCTGTATGTATGTATGTGTGTGGATTGGGGGGATTGGGGGGTTGGGAGTTAGGGGTGGGAGAGAGGGGAATTGTGTTTATATGGATGTTAATGGGGTGCTTGATTGCAGATTGATAAGAAGTATAAGATTTTTAAAAGGGGACAGACGGTGGTGGATTTGGTGAGTTCTTTCTTTGTGTTTGTGTTTGTGGTTATGGTTATGATTGGAGATGGTATGGATGGGATTGCGAGGTGAGGTCGGAATAGTTTGTTAAGATGTATATCCAGGGATATGCGCCGGGAAGTTGGTCTCAGGTACGTTTTTATATTCCCTCGCCCCTCTTCTCTTCTTCTCTACCTATCTATCTATCTATCTACCTCTCCACCCATCCCTCTACCCATCCCACTCACCCTCCCCACCAGGTAGCATACGAGCGCACCCAACCCCACGGCCGCATCCTCGGCATCGACATCATCCCCGCGCAGCCTCCCCAAGGCGTCTCCACCATCCAAGGAAACTTTCTCTCCCGCCGGGTCCAAAAATCCGTCAAGAATTTCCTTCTCGATCCCGAGCGCGGTCGTCCACGCAGACCTCTATTCTCCACCCTCTCCTCCGAGGACCTCGAAAATGACGAGGATCCCGGCACCCTCGATATCGCCGCCTCGGAACCAAGTTACATCGATCTCGAACGACAGATGGACGATCACGAGTACGAGTACGAGCACGATGCCGGGGAAACCCAGCCCTCGCAATCGCAATCGCAATCGCACGAACGGCTGGAGTCCCCGGAACCAGAGAAAGACGCTTCGAAAATGGTCCACGTAGTACTAAGTGACATGTGCGCCCCCTGGGAGCAAACCACCGGTTTTTGGAAGAGAAGTCTGAGTGACCCGTATAATAGGATGATGAACACAACCGGTATCAAGTTTTCCGATCATGCGGGGAGTATGGTATGTTATTTTTCTTTCCTTTCCTTTCCCCTCCCCTCCATTTTCTCACATTAATCTCATTTCAACCATCCACACCATTTTTTCTTTTCTAACCACTAACCACTACCTACCCATCTACATGTAGGATCTCTGCAACGCGGCTCTGCAATTTGCCTTCGAGACGCTGAGACCGGGGGGTCATTTTGTGTGTAAATTTTATCAGGGCGCGGAGGATAAAGAGCTGGAGTTGAAGCTGAAGAAAATGTTTGCCGCGGTGCATAGAGAAAAGCCGGAATCATCGAGGAGCGTGAGTGAGCCTGGAAACTATTGAAGAGAACTCATATGCTCACAATCAATAGGAATCGAAGGAAGCATACTTTGTAGCTCTTAGGCGGAATGGGTACAATGACGCTGCAAGTTTAGGTTATGTCAACGATGTGTAAGTAGAAACGAGTGAGAATGTAAATTGTATAATAGCACCTTCAACTTCTATGGACGAATAATTTGGTCATCACATCGACTATCACATGTGCAAGTGGAAAATTAAGCTAGGGTGGAATCAAACTATTCATGATTACTACTCCTAATTGCATCGATACCATCATTTTCTTGTAGTATTCATATGCTAAAGACTGTACTGCGGATCCAGCTCGCCTTAAATAGCTTGTTGACATCCCTCCACCCTTCTTGGAGGTATCTAGACCAGCAAAGCCAGAAGTTCGTAACGTCCCTTCCCCAATTAGGCCATTTAGACCTTGAAACCTCTGGACCTTCTGCGTCCACGAGCCTTCTCGAACTTGCGTCCCTTGGACTCGACGTATGGTTTCTGTTGCAGATTTGTCAGTTTTGCCAATTAAAAGCCATATTGGATTTATTACCTTGTGCTTGTGGGGTCCGAAACCGAAATGCTTGACAGCCTCTCTGGAGTTCTTTGGTCCTCTGAGGAGAACAGTGTTGCTTCCAGTTGGGGATCTGAGAGCCAATTGATCCAAGGTCAAGGCCTCACCACCGGCAGCGAGAATGCGGGCACGGGCGGTAGCGGTGAAGCGGAGAGCAGCAACGCTGACCTTTGGGACGGACAAAAGACGGTTGTCATCAGTGACGGTTCCGATGATGACAACGGTTCTCTTCTCCTCCTTGTTGGTTTGGGATGCGATTCTGGAGATGGAAACGGGAGGTCTGTTGATACGGGACATAAAAAGTCTGCGGAGAACGACCTTGTTGAAGGAGGCTTCAGTGCGGCCTGAAAGAAATTGAAAGTTAGCGCATATCACTTTGGTCGAGAACTTTTGAGATGGACTTACGAGCCAAGAAGCGGTAGAGCTTTACCAACAACTTAAGGTAGACATTGTCACTCTTTGGCGTCTTACGGTGAGTGTTGCGCACGTGGTGGTTGTCAAGATCGATACCTAGTTAGAAAATTCCTCGTCAGCCTATGATCAAGTATGCTCTTCACATCGGTCTTGCACAGACACAATGTTGCGCAGAGAATTGAGATCTTTTACGATGCGATTTGTGATTTCAGTCTTTCAACTTTTAATCTCAATTCATCGTCAAGTCACTCAATTTCCACTTGCACACGATGGCTGGAATAGAATTTGTGTTCACCTACCCATGATTGGCGATTTGGGGGGTTTGTCGTCGAGGGGTGTCGAGAAGTCGTGAATAATCCAGCAAGAACGAAAACAATTTCGAAGAAGTTTTAAGAATATGGAGCCCAGTGCGTGAATTCGCTTAAAATTTTCCGTGGATTTTCACTTCTTGGTGCCTTGTGGCCTGAGGCATAAATAACGCACCATTGATTTTTTGTCAATGGTGACCGCCCGGGAAGCTGGAGGTGGGTTGGAACTTGGAATGTACCGAAGTATCGGTACTCTTGAACGGAAAGGCGGAGTACGTCGTGAGTACTCGGCCTCGTCAGGGGTGATGAAAAGGAGTCGAGTGATATGGAAGAGATGAAGATGTTTGAGATTAATGATGGATGGATGTCTCAGTACACTCGCATATGGGTATTGCTTTCTATTTGGGAGACGACTGAATCCATATATAGTATTATATTGTAGACATAAAATCTTGTGTTGTCTGTCTACTTAGGAATTCTATCACCAAAATACTATACTGGTTATTTCGAAATTTATATGGAATGGTTTAATGAGGTACAGTGAAGCTTGAACTCGAACTCGAACTCGGATTCATCATGAACTTGTTTTCGTGTCCATGTTTGTACGATCGCAGTCCAGTTTGTAGATTGTTCTGATTCTTTATACATAACCACCGAGTACTGGTTGAATCAAGCTGGACATGGTAGGTGTACATTTACCAACAAATAACCAATTTGTACGAGGAGTTGATGAATACCTAGTACCTACCTACCTGTGTGTCTGCTACTCCGCATGGAGGTATCGATCGTTCTTGCGGGAAACTACGGAAGGGCTAGGCAAGTTGACATCATGTTGTAGCTCGCAATGATGGGGTAATTCTACCTCCGTGCATCATAATGTGGAAGATCTTCCAACGTTGTTGCCGATTAGTAGCAATGGTAGGACTAGTCGTCATCATGTATGAGGATGTCAAAATATAAGGAATATTTAACAAATTAATTTGAAAATGAATTTATATAAATGTATCCATTGCTTTTCCTTAAATCATATATATACTTGTCGACCTACCTATCTAGGTATATAATAGAATAAATCGTGTTAATTTCGTAAGAAATGACTACAGAAAAGATGGAACTTTCCGTCGACAAACCCTTCACAAAATGACCTCCACCTTGGACCTTGGTAGAGTAAAGTTTTTTCCGCTCATGATTACTGGTCAAGTTGATCAAAGTTCTCTACTTCTACTGTAGGTACAAACAGTACTTATTATTATTACTACCTACCTAGGTAGCTATATCAATTCCTCGAATCCTCCTCAATATAAAACAACGACAACAACAACAACAACATAGACCTTGAAATCATTCTCCTAGACTTCTTCCTTCTTCTCTTTATAGAAAAAAACAAAATCCAATTTGCTATTTTGAATAACTTTGTTATTACCTACTCATATTCTTTCTGCTGATTCTCCTTTTTCTCTCGAGATATCACCTCTCATCAAAAAGACCTAGATTAAATTGATATTGATACTCCTATCCTCCGGTGACACTATCTCGTACCCCCCCCCCCAGTACTTGATCTTCTCCCAGTCAAGCTCGGTTTAAAAAAGCCAAACCCAGCCAGCCTCACCACCTCCTAGATCTTTTCCCAATTGTACATGTACAATATATTCAGCAATTGATCGTCGATTTCTTATTTCTATTCAAAAGTCTACGTTCTCATATATCCTACCAAATATCAAAGTCGCCCTTTATTCTCGAAACCTTGTCCTGCGAATTCGCATGCGTGGTGGGCTTAAGGTGTGCGTCGAGCTTTTAGGCCTTTGAGGTGCATAGCTTAGCTACTTTTCCTGGAAATGTCTGCCGTATGTTCTATTCTCTTGCTCAATCTTGCTCATTATCTAGTATGCATGCTAACAATTTGTTTTTGCTACAAGTCTAAGAATGATGTTCTCCCGCCCAAATACACCCCCAGAGTTCTGCAACTCAGAGAGCTGATCGCACAGCCTGTGGTGGCAGCGTTTTGCGCCGGTGGAGTGGCAGGTGCGGTTTCTAGAACAGTCGTATCGCCTCTGGAACGATTGAAGATTCTTTTTCAAATACAGAGTGTAGGGCGAGAAGAATACAAGATGTCTGTAGGAAAGGGGCTTATGAAGATGTGGAAAGAGGAAGGTTGGCGCGGACTGATGAGGGGTAACGGCACTAACTGTATTCGAATTGTTCCCTATTCTGCTGTCCAGTTTGGAAGTTACAATTTCTATAAAAAGGTAAGAGCTCAAGGATGTTCGAATCTCTCCTATTTCTCTTCCAACTGAACGTTGCGGAAATTCTCATTCAAATGAGCGCATTTCATGGAAAGCAATTACTGATTTCCTTGCTTCTCTAGTTCTTCGAAACCACTCCTGGCGCAGACTTGGGTTCTTTCAGACGTCTCATTTGCGGTGGAGCTGCCGGAATTACATCCGTATTCTTTACCTATCCTCTAGATATTGTTCGCACTAGATTATCTATCCAGTCTGCATCATTTGCGGCTTTGGGAAAGCATGGTACTAAGCTACCAGGCATGTTTGCTACGTTAAAGACGATGTACAAAACAGAAGGAGGCATTCTTGCATTATATAGAGGAATTATACCTACTGTCGCTGGCGTTGCACCATATGTGAGTGTGGATTAAGTGGTTATGGGTTGTTTGAATTGCATTGCTAACGAAGAAATAAGGTTGGCTTGAACTTCATGACTTATGAGCTTGTACGAAAGCATTTCACTCCAGAGGGAGACCAAAATCCCAGTGCGGTACGAAAGTTAGCAGCTGGCGCTATATCTGGCGCAGTTGCACAGACATGCACGTATCCATTGTAAGGTGCCCGTTAATATTCATAAATTCAAAGCTAACATTGTTTAGTGATGTTCTTCGACGTCGTTTCCAGATCAATACAATGTCTGGTATGGGATACCAGTACAAATCAATTTTCGATGCTGTCGGAAGAATTGTCGCACAAGAAGGTATCATGGGCATGTATAAGGGAATTGTACCCAATCTACTCAAAGTAGCCCCAAGTATGGCGAGCAGTTGGCTCAGTTTTGAGATGACTAGGGATTTTTTTGTAGGGCTAAAAGCCGATGATGCCAGCTTATGAGTTTGAGAAAAGCCTCCTGATGTTTCTCGACAATGGGGACGGTTTTGGACAGGCGTATTAAAGGTCAAGGCTTTGTATATGAAGACGGCGTAGACCAGGTCAATGGATTGCATTTGGTAAGGCATCTGGGTATGCATATGGGAGCGGGCGTTATTTTGTAAAAAGAGACAGACAAGATTCTCAAGACCGGGTCCTATAATCAGCGATAACAGGAGAATAGATGTGCTAGGGAATTGGGGTGAATTCACGGTGATAATCGTGAAATTCAAAGGTGTATGAACATAAAAAAAAGGATGTTTTGTGGCAGAAAAATCTGATGAGCTCTTCGATCTAGCTATCTTCCTACCTAATTGGATGGGATTGAGGGGGATGACAACTTTACTTTTATAATTGCTATATCGGAAAGTTTTGAACATATAGGTAGCAATTTAATGTGAAGGATTTTCGTTGACAATTAATTGGGTACTTGACTACTTGGGTATGTCTTAGTGTACAATACATCTCTCGAGACTTTTCTTCATCCATAGTGTCGGTTGAGGAAGTCTTCTCATTTAGCAAGTGCGATTGGGTTTTCTCTCGGGGGTGGTGGGAACTTTGGGGGTTATAGGGTTGTTTCTTTGGGGTTTGGAAGACTAGGGGAGGATGGTTTGCTTGCTGTTGTTGGTGATGTGTTGTGGTGGGTATTGGGACTATTGGCTTGTTGGTGGTCGACGGAGACTGAGCGAGTAAATCGTCACTGAAAAGCCATGTTCTATCTAGGTCCGCAGACGCACTGAGATGGTTACGTGGAGAATAATGAAGCTCGAGTTAGCGAATGCTGTACTATATTATACTATACTATACTATACTAGATGGTTTAATAAGTTTTCTTATGCGAACAATTAATTACGCGCTTCTAGCCACCCCTCTCATCAAACTGCTGGTTTACGACCAACCATGAGATACATCGGTGTGAATAGTTTCTCCTTCGCTCCTGCAACCAAACAGTCTGCTCCTGTTGCTAGCGAATCGGCCGTCTTCTGAGTTCCTTTCGGAGCCAGACCGATAGTCTCCAGGGCTCCTATGAAGCTATGCACAACCGTGCGACCAACAGGTGACATTCGAAGGAAAGTGGGCAGTTCCCAAATACTCTGCATGTATTTCAAGTCACCGCTCAGAGGCCAATACCACGGGATCGCATCCCCGCCCTCAAGATCCGCAACATTCATATGGAGTTCCAAGACGAAGCCCGCTTTCTGCATGGCTTGAAGCGCCACGGAAATCTTCTCCATATTACTAATTCCATTTCCCTGCTCGATCCCCAGACGAAGAGCTCGGTGCCGAGGATCATCGTTATCATATTTCTCAGTCATAAGCCACTCATACACGCCGAACGCGCCGCCGGGCTTCAAAACTCTGAATATCTCGCTATACACCCCTTCCAAGCTGGGCGCGTGCACGGTCGCCTCGATCGCATAGACGCCATCAAAACTGTCATCCGGATAGCTCATTTGCATGAAATCGCCTTTGGCGAAACTGACGCGATGGTCCAGTCCCTGTTGCTGCGCGTAGCGTGTCGCGCGCTCGATTTGGTAGTCGTTATTGTTCAGCCCGACGATGTTGCAGCCGGTGAATTTTGCGATTTCGCGGGCGGGCCCCCCGACGCCGCAGCCGACGTCGAGCACGAGCTGGTCTTGTTGAAGACCCATTTTCAGGGCGAGATAGTGCTCGTGTCGGGCGAGAGCTTGCTTTAAGGGCTCGCCGGGGGTGAAGCGGCAGAAATGGAAACTTTGGGACCTGGATGGAGGGAGGGGTGGTTAGTGCTGTTCTGGTAGGAGATGGTTTGTGGAGTATGCCGCAGGAAGGGGATGTGCTTCTCACCATCCATATTCATACAGATCGGTTGCGAGATCATAGTAGTGTCGAGTGAGTGTAGCGTAGTCCTTTCGTCTCGCATCACGATCCAGCGATGTTTCATCCTTGGCGACTTTGTTGTCCCAATGCTTGAAGTATTGATCCACGGCGAGCTTCTGCGCGTTCTTGTCTTTGTGTATCAGGTTTATGAAGGATCTGTCGGTCTGGCCTGTCTGGCCATGCAGCGCTTTCTTGAAGGCGGAATCGCGAGTGAGATCTTGGGGTTCGAGGACTACGGGGGTGGACATGTTGAGGATTTTTCTGTCGTGGGTGGATGGATGGAGATGGAGATGGGACTGTTGATATAGATATAGAGGAGAAGTAATGGGATCGATTGAACTGGAATATATCGAATCCAATCGAAGCCGCAGGGTCAAGAGAGACTTAATAAGTATCGAGGACACCACAAACACGTGATGGGAACAGGGGGTGCGTATTCGGATCTCGATACATGGGAATACTAGCAAGGGGTAAGGGGGTCTAGCTCAAAGGGGTCACAACTCGAAAACGAATACGAATTAGAGGTTTCGCACTGTCTTGGGGATGGGATGTTGCTTTGCATTGCATTGCATACCCGCATGTGGGCTTGGGTGTATCGTATCATTACAAGAGTTGACCGGCTACTGATATGTGCTGTTGTGGGTAGGGTAGTGGGTAGGGTAGTGGGTATGCCTTTTTCTGGATGCTGCAGCTGGGGCTTTGATGATATGTTTACTTGGCGGACTGCATCGATAGCCTCGACTGTGTATATATGTATTGGGTTGAGATGTTATTTTGGAATTTGAGAATTCCTTGGTTTGTTTGATGAGATGTTGTGAGGACGGGGATGTCTTGGGAGTAATCAGGTTTTGAGATTAGCTGGATGTGGATTCTGTGGATTCTGGATGGATGAGAAGAAATGTGGATTTGTTTCCGGGGGGGGGGGGGGTTATACTTGGTAATGGGTGATGGGAAGATGGGAAGATGGGAGGTGGGGAGATAGGAGTTGGTTCTTGAGAGGTGAAGGAGTATGTATGTATGTATATAGATAGGATTAAGACTTGTATAACTTGTATCTAGCTTATCACGCGAAAGCTGGTGCAAGCAGCACATATGAAATAAGCAGCTGGCATCCTTCCGGGCTTCGATCATAGAGTGTGATGTCTTATATATTCAATAACTACTGATATTGATCGATACCCCTCAAGCAATTCACTCTATAGAGAACACTACTCACCGCTCGTGGTTTCTGCGATTACAAACTTTGATCTAGTTATAACTAGGTACCTAGGTATTATACAGCGATGCGAGAAGTCATTCCAGTACTGCACTGGTTAGAGGACTATTGACGATGATGAGTATTTATACCCTCACTCTTAGCTTAGCTTCATGAACAAACAGACGTTCCTCTGTAATGTTACATAATCCACGCACTTCAAGGTTCGGATAGTTGGTCAAGATATCCGCGGTGTGAAAATTGATGTCTTCTAGTACCTAGTGATGTATCTTTTCTTCCTCTCTGACAGGAAATTGAGATAGTGGGTTTATCAAGTATTGGGATATGCTATCTGGAAGGGTGAGGATGTTCTACGAGATGATACTAGTACTTTGAACTGATTTATTAGTTGAGATTAGGATTCTCAATTATTTCTTCTTGGTCAGGAGTGAGGATATTTGTAGTTTTAACTTTTAATCAAGAAGTGTGATTTGGAGGCTTGTATACGTAGATCCGAAGAGATGTTTTGAATGTGGTAAGTATAGTTTCTATTCACTATCTCTAACTCTACACTATACACGAATTTCAAGATATGAAAGAACAAATAGTCTTAGTCCCATATATATTCGAGGTCTTAAAAGTAACAACAAATCCTTCCAATCAACACATCGAGATCTAAACCCCAATCCATCTCATTATTATTTTCTCTCCTCGCTTATGCAATTGCAAAACTCCATAATAACTTTTTCTGTGACTTGTTTTTAGTAAAGTCCAGTAACTATATCACCACGTATCCGTGCCGTTAGGTGAACTTCATCTAGATCAAGTTTTATAAATACCATTACAGCTGCGGGTTTTAGAGTGTCGTCTACTTCTGTGGCGCCTTTGAGTAGATTTCCTGTGGAGAGGTTAGTTTTTTATTGGGGAGATACTGGTACATTTGTACATGTGTCTGCTTTGAAAGGGGGGATGATAGTTAGCTGCTGGTGTGCGAAGACTTTCTGAGGTGGGAGGGTTGGGTAATGGGTTTGTATTGATTCCGGTTGTGGCTCTGTGTCTGTTGTTTGATTTGTCGGTGGAGGAGGGTGGTGTATAGGCGGTTTGGTTGAATGTTGTTCTGTCGGGCGATTTTGTGCTGGTTTTGTGTTAGTATCGTGTGCTGGGAGAAGAGGGGTTGAATTTACTTGATGGTAGATAGATTGGGGTAGGGGATGAGGTTCGATGGAAACTAGTTGTAGGAAATAATTCGAAAATCCAGACACCAATTTGCCGAGTTTTAGATGGTCTTGAAGAGAATTGATGTCGGCGCTGCTGACTAGAGGATTAGCAAGTCAACTTTATAGATTATCCCTCACTATCCACATTCGCGGGACCGATGTTGGCAGATCCAGATTCGAAATTATCAAGGCACTGAAAGTATCAAATCAGCGAAACTCGCGCCTTGATGTAATGCATTTAAACCACCGTAAAGTTTTTTTTCTCTACGAATACTGGGAAATCCTATGCTTGCCACTCCAAATATAATGATGGACGGTACTAAGACGAAAAAGTACAGATTAATGCTTCAGAACTACTTCAATTAATCAAAAGTTCTCATTTCGAGAATGTTGATTTAAAATTCAAATTCACCAACCCTATATAGCAAGTTTCTTCTTCAAGCTCTCTTTTTCAGTCGTTGTCTTAATCTAGTTCAAACCCCCAAACCAGTTGTAACAGGCAGCGGTAAGCATGACCTCACTATTCATTGCACTGGTGACAGCACCAGCACTACTCTCCACGAATGAGGCAATTAGACAAGGCCAACCCAAAGATCGCAGGGAAGAACATCGTGCACGGAGATGCAATTTGATTACAAGTTGTGTTGAAGCATCACCGCTTAGCCTTGAGGTTGATCATAGGCAGATTATTCTCAGAGATTCCAAAGTTAGTGATAGAATGTACTGATTTCAAAGTCACCTCTTCTACGACAAAATCAATTCATTTATCTCTCTTATCCTAAAACCAAAGAACATGGCCACTAAAAGCTGATACTAAAAACAGCTATATATCAATAAGAGCATGAATGATCCCACACTACATCTATTCGCAGGATATTATCTTCCATATCCTGATCCAACTACGAAGGCTTTGTCTCTACTATCACAGACGTTGCTCTAATTATGAATTGGACATACGTTAAAAGAGAAACTTACGAAGTCAAGTATGGAGTGCGTTTGGATGCTCAGCCTAACATTACAGGCCCATTCGACTGCACCAGACAAGACAGAAGATTGACTCTCGAGGGATGGGAGGGATTTTGTGCTGTCGAAAAAGAAGCAAACGGCGAAAAAACTGGCATTTGGACTCTTTACTATGGTCGGGACGATGGTCGCTTGGTTAAGAAGTTGGGAAGAATAGAAAAGCAGTGGAAATTGAGCCAAGTAGGCATGAGAAGCGAGTACGAAGAGGCAAGCCACTAGGCGAAATGAGATAACTCCACCATGATATAATGTTGCACTGCATCATAACAGTCGTGCAGTTTCACAATATAATCTGTGATATGGAAATCTTGTGGCATAAAGTAGAATCACATGATATGATTCAGAATGCCATGTCATATCGTGCGGAGTATGATGTGTTAGTGAAAATATCTCAATAAAGAGGTTCGGTTGCGTTCTTCGTATCAAAATGAGGCGCGTCCTTGATTTCCAGCTTGTGTCGAAGTTCAATCATGCAGAAATACCATGGCATGCAGCGTTGAATGAAAAACGCAATCAGTTGAGTCTTAGGAAGCGATGACATAGTCCAACAATATATTGAAAAGGAAACCCGATATACAGCCGATGTTATAGATCCAGATCATCACGTAAGAGTAGCATGTATGTAAAATGTCAGTTAACTCAGAAGCTTCAAAGTTAATTCAGATCGGTTCGGGATAAATGTATAAAAATGTTCACTGGCTCGAGACTGCGCGAATATGACAAGATGGTCCGAGCTCCGAATATATCACGTGAATTGCAACACAAAATTGTTTTGTTGCACGTCTGAAAATTTGAACGGTATTTCTCAACGACACGAGCGAAACAGGTCGTCAATCTGGCGCCAAAATTTAAAATTTACATCGACTGGGAATAAGAACACTTTTTGAAATTTATTTCCGGTCCATGTCGGATTTATTCCAAACTCAAAAATTCAATTTTTACTGCGAGTGATTGGCTCACCAATGGCTTCCACCTTACGTAATCATTTGGTCGAACATCACATCAGTGTGAATGAAACCTTCAATGAAATTTTTGAAGTACCTCTCAATACAGCGAAGTCATGGCATATTATTTCACTCGCAGTTTTTACCCATATAGGCGTCGACTTGCCTAGATCGATATGATAACCTTTTACTACTATATCATCAAACATAATTGAAACTCGATGGCCGATAGATTTCAACACATTTGAAACATGAAGAAGTGATGAATCTTATTCTTCCGTGTTTGATATCGCTGACGCCTCCCGTCAAGTATCTGCGACAGCATCGATCCAGTCTGAATTATTCATTGGGCGAAGAGAAAGAATGTTCCTTGACACCATTCACCTTACTAGTTGCAAGGGCGGTGGTGTTACGGTTACGAAGTTGAGCCAAGCTTCATAGACAAAACTGAATGGATACCTGGTCTACGTACCGGGAATCTTTTTGATATTGTATACCAAATCAAACAGTTATTATTTCGAATTCAAAGTTAATCGCGTATATCCATATATCCATGAGCTTTAGTTCACCATGTATATACTACATCCCCTATGCTTAAATACAAGCTGATGTCATTATGAATATTTGAACTACAGTGTTTCAATGTATAAGTTTTGGGTGATTTGACGTACCACTTTGTTCGACAACATGGAGCTCAGTATTATCATACTTAGATTTTCCTTCGGCATCTCGCTTTCTATATTTTGCACCTTCACTCTCTGAAATGTTTTCGCGGGATTCTGTTGGATCATCATCAGATTCATCTTGTAGTTCATGGAGTTCTTACGCCTCAAGCTCTGGTTCATTTCCAAGTATCGTCAGCACGATATCTTCTATTTTCTCCTGTCGTTCCACGCCACTACCCGAATTTCCCACCAGTTCCCTCCAGAGTCCACAGGATAAAGCAATTAAAAATGTATCGAATGTAACATATTTCGATTCAAAGTCAATGTGAGAAAAATCGCGTAGTAACAACACTTTCACAGAGTCAGTCTTTGCAGTAACGAACTTTTGTATCATCAAATACCAACACGAAAAAAACTTCTCACAGTCAGACCTACAGCTCAGAACGGGCCATCCACTTTAGCACGACTTCAGGATATGCAAAATGTGGTTTGTGTTGCTTTTGGAATCTTTGATCGATATTATATAGCATGGGAGGATACCCAAGGAGAACAACATCAAGGTACGCTTCAAACCATTACATGGTTGTTGTCGATAACTGGAATCTGACAGTCATCAGAGAGCGACAAGCTGCCCCAACTTCTTTACGATTGGCTGCATCCCGAAAGTGGCCAAACACGACATCTACCTTTATAACAAGTCTCATTTGGTACCAACAATGAGTTCTTTGCTTCTGATAAGGATGATAAGATTTCAAGTCGTGACTCTGCGCCTTCAACTATCGATCATGTATCTAGATCGTCACTAATTAAGCCAATTGTGCAAATAAATTCTCAACTCATACCCAACCACAATAAAATCGAAGAAGAAACCGCGGAGATACCACGAACTTTAAGATTAAAGAGAAGGAGTGCTATGTTTACCTTGGACTACCAACGCATGACCCTACACAAAACATAATCTGGCGCAGAGAAACTTTAGAAGAATTAACATCTCAACCATCTACAGCGGAAATACCACTGGCGGCATACACCATGAATAACATTATTGAGTCACGCCGGATAGAGCCAGAGCCTGTGAATCATCGGGCTTGAGTCGAAGACGAAGCGGAAAGGTTGACCTATCACGGATTCGTACCTCTTGGTCGGAACAACCCGTTCAGGTATCGGATGTCTTGGATCGCGAAGTGTACAATTCCGAGAGGAACTATGTTGATACCTGCATACAGACGGATCTCTGTGGACACCACATAGACGAAATTTTAAGTACCGGAATTGCACCGCCAATTCTACCTCAAGAGCCGCAATATCAATCAGTTCAGACAATGCCATTTGGCTTAATGCAAGATTATTTCTCATGGCAATAAAGTCTTGGAGATGCGTTATATTATGGATAATCTGTGGAATATGAACATTCGAAGGAATATACTGGAGCAATTGCGTTATCCACCATTTACGCTTTCCACATAGTATCTTCCATTCACCGCATACTAGTGGCTATAGCCCTCAAAGCCTTAAGCAAAATTTCATCGCTATATTTCATGGTAGTTGAACGTCCCTCGCCAGATAAGCCAAATGCTCTATCATACACAGGGCATACTGTTCCACTTTCTGGAAGTGCACCTGTTTGAAAATATTGCCTCACAATCCTAGCGCTGCAGATCGAAGGCGTCGAGAGGAATAAATGCTACGTTTTTCAGCTTTCCGCAAACGAGACGAGATCAGTTTAAGAAAAGTAAGTTACTTACACCTTCTGAATCTTGCTGTAGAAGTCTCGATCCATTGAATCTTTTACTCATATTTTGACCACTGCTGATAATTAGCAAGACTTAGGTGGCATAAAAATGAATACAGTCCTTATTTCGCAAGAGATGTGACAGGATCCAGGGTATTCGAGACAAATAGAATTGGCTCCGAGGTTGATCTTTCGATGGGGCCTGAGGAGGGTTGTTAGGGTTCAATGCTCTATACCACGAGTAACAAACATACCTGGAAATGTAAGTTTTGGTCTGAGCTTCCAAAAAGCACACAACATCCGGTTTTTTGCCCACCGATCGCCCAAATAAATACTCTCCTCCCTTACTCGCTGCCAATATTCCAGGAAATCGGTGGCAGTCATATTAGTTTGGTCCGGCCCATCAGAGCACGAGATGGCTCCAACAACCTCCTCAGCATAGTCTATAGGGGCGAGAAGCAATATGAGGAGTATGGATCACTCGAACGACATCGTGGCTGAAGATCCTGCCATGCATATTCCATCGACTTGGAATTTGCAAGAAGTGTTTCATTCATTTGGGAAACATCATACAAGATCCTTACCAGTCTCTCAAATTCTTCGAATGGTGAGCATAAGGCTAATCGGACTGCACCTTCCACACCGCTACTCGTGATAATCTCGGGCCCACGTACGTCAGAAACAGATACTGGAATGGGAGAATCCGTGACGGAAGCGATGATGTCGTCTAAAAGATCGTGAATGTGTTCTGAGCCTCTACTGGAGTATAGAGCGCAGCGTTCGGGACCTGCTTCAAAACAGTACTCAGAAAATTTATTTATGATGGTGTCAGCATCTTCGAGGTTCCCATCCCAGGTGCCTTTTTGGTTAGCAGAGTTGGACAGAAATTTAGACACAAGGAGGAAGAACTTACCGGCGTAATGGCGATCAGCGTCAGCCACGCCATCAAGAACCATACGACCAACAAAGCCTGGATACATAGCTGCAAATTTCGTGCCTAGCAGAGTTCCATACGAGAAACCCCAGTACTGAATTTTATCCACAAATTCAATCTTCGATGATTTAGTGTATTCTCGACCTCGGATTAGGGATTCGTCTCTCGATCTAGATAAGGCTTTCACTATCGCTTTCATGTCCATTGCAACAACAGGTGTATTCATATATGCTCCTAATGCATCCTCCCCATTCTCATCAACACCCATCCGTGTATAGAAAGCATCAGCAAGGGCGTGTTTTCTCGCCCACATAAGTTTAAAGGCTACACTGGAGCTCCCCAACATTCCTTCCACGTCCGAAGCGACATTCCAGTTCATTCGTTGAGCAGCATCGGGAAAGCATATAAAAGCAGGAGTCGTAAAACCAGTTCCTCGCGGATCAAACGAGACAATATCAAAATACTTATTAGCTGCTTTGGTGTTACTGGTATCATTCGGGTTTGAGGGAGAGTCTACGATGGTTTGTAGATGACGTGCTTGATTCCTGGCAAGATTGACACCCGAGCCTCCTGGACCACCTTGAAGTCGATTAGTATCTGCTCTAGCTTCATCGAGAGAACATCAACAGCTTACCTGGATTGATAATGATAGAACCACCATGTCGTGGATCACCCGCGTTTACTTTTGATGGGAGTTTGATCAATGCTATTGCCACACGCCTCAAATCGATCGATTGATTATTCCAATCGAGTGGTACTTCGAGACGAGCACATTCAAATGATCTATAGCAAGAATGAAAGCTCAGTTTTGGTGATGGTGTAATCTATAAAAGGATTCATATTAGCAAGTAAACTTCAATAAGGATTGTGGAAACTTGCTGTTTCCCAATCGAAATTCTCTGGATCGTGAACAATAATTCTTTTCTGACTGGGCATAAATTTCATAGAGCTCTAGCAAAGTAGGCACCCCAGAAATTCTTCGAAACAACAGCAAATACTAAAATAAGCACGACCAGGAGAAGGTAGCGAATATAATGACCACGCTTGCCAAGACATGAGTTCCTCTCCAGAGGGGTTATATGTCTTGGCTGTGCGGAAGCGATGAGATCTTCTTGAGCACAATGCTTTGGCCATCTCGCCGCTGCCATCTTACTTACTTTTCTGTTCTCCATCTTCTTTCTATATATTGGAATTCTGAAGTACTCTGATACTCTGTTGCGAGTCCCGATACTCATCAATGTTTGTGACATAGGTATTGCGCCCTTAGTCAATCAAGGAAACCATCGATACAGGAAAATAAGCAGATAACGCTCAAAGGTCACACTCTGCAAGGGATCCCAGCATAATCTACCTTTAAGCTGACATCCATCTATGTCATACCTACTAGGTAGTACTCATATGTGGTGTGGCTCGAGAGACTAGGGGTTGTGTGGCTTAGATCCAGGGGGAATGCTGTCAGCCACCGAGTATCATCTCCCATTCCCGCATTGTTTACTTATTCTGTACGTTCGGCTTTTTGATATAGCAAACATCACGCTACGCCTAGTTTTATCACACGAGTTGATTGTTGAGTTTCATTGTTGAGTTCTTATATCATATCGGTAGACAGTTCTTGCTTAGTCCCCAATGCCCAAGGTAGCGAAAGGAAGGAGACAGCGAGCATACCGACCGAAGACCAAGACGGGTTGCCTGACTTGTCGAAGTAAGTTTCAGAAAACTAAAAGGGATAACAAAAACTAAATAACTCTCCAGTACGAAGAATAAAGTGTGACGAGGCAAAACCCGCATGTCTTAAATGTACATCAACTCGTCGGATATGTCCAGGCTATCACGTCCCAACCTTGGACACGTCGCCTTCGGGTGATATGAGTCTCATCACAGCAAACTCTTCATTTGATATCCTTAGTTCCCCACAATCAAAGCGATCGTTTGCATTCTTTGTGCAACGGACTTGCTCTCAATTAGCCGGATTTTTCGGTTCCGATTTCTGGGAAAGACTTGTGCTTCAAACTGCGCATCATGAGTCGGCTGTACGCCATGCCGTTGTAGCTTTAGGTGCTATCCATGAATTATCAGAGCGAAAGACGCAAATTTCTGATATTGATAAGGTTTTTGCTTTAGAGCAATACAATTTTGCGATTAGAGATCTTTTAGCTCCGCTGTCTCGGAATGAAAAGCGAGGTGTTGATGTTTGTCTTATCGCTTGCATTATTTTCGCTAACTTTGAGGTACTTCTCGTTTCTGTAACTAGTGTGCTGTTACCATTCATGTGCTTGCTTACATGCTGATTCTCATAGAGTATGGCAGGACAACGTGCTTCAGCAGGAGCACATATAAAAAGTGGCGCGAAGCTGCTGCGTGAAACCGAATGGGACCAACAGAATGGAATGGTTTATCATCAAACACTTGGTTCGAAAAGTCCTGTCGATTTATATGCTTCTCCAGGGGCTCTAGCTAGGACATATTCCGGATTAGATAGAGAATGTACAACCATAAAAGGTTTTGTACGTCCCTCATTCTCCTTTCCCCGTGTACCCGTCTATACTTTGATTAATATTATTGCTACAGTTAGCCGAACGTTACGAGCCTTTATTCTATGGAAATCCACTCTCCGGAATAATAAACGACAACGTTCCTATATTCTTTCGTAATGTCGAAGAAGCCAAAAACTGTTTCGAATACGGTTGTTACCTATTCCAACGCAGTGTCGCGCGTGCTTCCGAACCTCCAACCGATCCAGTATACTCCCCCATCGATTTCGAAGCCCGTATTCGTCAGATCATTGACAATTTTGAGGCTCTACATTCAAAATATTCGCATGAGCTCCAAGCATTTATAGAAGCGAGAGGCTCGTCTTTCACCCCCAAAGAAGACATCGCCGTTGCAGTACTACAACTTCACTCATTGGACAATCATATATCATGCTATATCCAATATTTGCCACCAACACATCGCTTACACTGGAGTGAATTCATGCCTCAAATCCAGAGAATGATGATGTTGGGTCAGAAAATCATCTCTTATATCTTATCTGACAGTAGCTGTGGAGAATCAACCATTTCTTTTAATTTGGACATGGGCGTTATTATCCCCCTTTATAACTTAGTTCGCCAGTGCAAAGAACCTATCATTCGTCGACAGATTATTAGTCTTCTCCGCTCGGTCAAACGTCAGGAGGGACTTTGGAACAGCATCCTAGTCGCGAATGCTTTGGATGGAATTGTGGAAATTGAGGAAAGCACGTGGAGCGAAGTGAACCCTTATTCTGAACACGCAAGACCGTTGACTGTTGATCCAATCCTTGATTTAGATTCCAGAGGAGGTCGCTTGGTATATACTCGACAAGGACAAGAAATCAATACTCAAAATAAGATAGTCGAGGAGATGTTCACTTGGTGACGTTGCGCTATTGGGATGGAGAAGTTAAGCTTGGGCTGAGACATAGGAAATACTCCAGATGAACATGATACAATGATGTATACCTACAGATAGAACTCAATCCCTCGTCCGCATTTGAGGATCTCATCACTAGTGAGATTACCTCTAAACAGCATTACAGCCCAAGCTTGCTGCTCTACTTGTAAAAACCATGCGTATAAGCATGAACCAAGCGATGGATTAAAATGGGGTTTGCTGCCTTGCTCTTTGCAAGATGTTAAGCACATTCTCTCATACCCAAGTATCTAAACAATCTCACAACTCGTACGATAAAGATCCCACCATTTCCGCAGCTATCCACTATTCCATACCCAAAATACTGACAGGTCGTCTTTTTCATGCAAGTTATTTAGTTCATACACCATTAATTTTCTTACGGTATTGAATCTCAATCAGATATCCATCTCATTCTCATTCTCATTCTCATTCATCTCCTCCGTAGCTCACATTACCCTTATAATCACAATATTCCACACCAGTCAGCAAACAAATGCTTCTCATCTACACCTGGGCAGTTACCAAGCTCAAAGAAAGCAATTTTGCAAAATCAAATACACAACACAATGTAACACCCAAACTCCACCGGAAAAAACCTCTCTCCCTCTCTTCAATTTTCTACACCTCATTTCCCAACCCCATCCATCCATCTCCCCATCTATCTCTCCATCCATCTCCCCATCCATCTCCCCATCCATCTCCCCATCCATCTCCCCATCCATCTCCCCATCCATCTCCCCATCCATCTCCCCATCCATCTCAGCCACCCCATCAATCTTCTCCCAACAAACCTCCCGCATATGCATCCATCTCCACACCCCAAAGAATCTTCTCACCTTCACCTACACCTATAACTCTTATTAAACCATCCACGATACTATACATTAGAACCTGAACCATCACTCCCGCCACAAAACTCTCTAGTGTACCTAGGTACCTACGTACTACACCATCTTTTCTGCGCGAGACGTAGTGTTCATTTCCCCTCTTAGTTATACATCCCCATCGCAACTACCGAGTACCAACTAATCTTCAGACCCCTCTCGACTACCAATCCTAACTCTTCATTGCGCGTTCATCTCTCTCGTACTTTCACACTTACAATTTACAACTTACAACTCACAATAAACATAACAAAACATAACATAACATAATAGAAATCGTATTTCATACACACTATCTATCTTTCTGCTTTCTTTCAGCTCTTCCAAATCTATCTATTTATCTATCTATCTATAAGAATTTTCATGCGCGCTAAAAAGAAGAAAGAGCCCAACCAACCCCACCCAATACAACTATCCGAAGGAAGAAACCATCTTTCCCTCCGCTAACTACCTACTTTATGCACACAAGATACGCTCAATATAACCGCTCCACTGCTTATGAACATTATTTCTCAATCCCCGCCCGATCTTCACGCTGTACCCATGATTCTCTTAACTCTCAGCCAAACCTCGAAAGCTTCCAATTTCAACCCCACCCTCACATATCCCAACCACGCCACCAACAATCGAAATCCATTCGCCGGCCACAAAAGGCTACCCCTCGCCTTGATCTGTTCCAGCTGTTCCTCAAACACCGTTCTTGTACAATATCTCGCTAGAATCAAGAAAGTCCTCACAGGTCCCTGTCGCGTATGTAAATTCTCATCCAAACTCCTCGTCAAGTCATTCGTTTTCAATATCAACAAAATAATTCGCGGAACCTGTCCTAACATTTGTACAAGTTGTTGAAGCATTCCTTCACCCAATGCATCATTAATATTCTTCTTCTCTTCTTCCGATCGCTCGAGCGCGACATCTTTCGTTAGGATGGTGTAATCGCGACCTGTAATAGCCGAGGCGAATAGGGGGAATTGTTCATCGGTTACGCCAGCCACTTCTTTAGCGTATTTGCGCATACGGGGTTCATTAGCGTCAATTACTGCTAGCCAGAGTTTTGCATAAGAGCGACGGAGTTCGAGAGGTATATCACGGTACAGACCATGGTCGTAAAGAATGACGTCGAAATTGGCGCCACGGCGATTGTCGTTTTTGCGAATAGCGAGATTACCCCCGTGAGGATCACAATGTAGAGGAGCATTGTTGCCAAAGATCATTTCGTTGAAGATACGAGCGAGGGCAGCGGATACTTCGTCGCGATCGATACCGTTAGAATCAAGAAATTCGAGATCATCCAATCGGTGTCCTGCAACATTCTCCATAACTAATATGCGTTTCTTTGCCCATAAAACATCAGGTATAATCAATGGTAGTTCCGGTATCCGTGAGAAGTAATCTTTTGTCCGCAAAGCATTCTTTCCCTCTTCAGTAAAGTCCAGTTCGATTGGCAATGAAATCTCCATTTCCGAGGATAACCATTCTAGATCATACTCTGGGAAGAATCTCTTCAACGTCGCGAATGTGAAGCTAGTTAATGCCAGATCAAGAGCCGCCCATTCCGCCAAGTTTGGATGTTGAACCTTCACCGCAACCTTTTGTCCCGTTTCCTTGACAGTAGCTAGATGTACCTGAGCTAAAGATGCTGCCCCTATCGGTAGAGGTGCAAATTCTGAAAAGTAATCTGAAAGTTGTTCGCCGGTATCCATCATAAACATATTCTCTACCGACTCCAACGATGAAACAGGACATTTATCCTGCAAGGGTATAAATGTGGTCGTCCATTCTAACGGTAGAAGATAATTCATAGCACTCTGCGAAAACCAATTAGCCGATGCATCATGCATCTAGGTGTAACTAAATTCCATACCAAATGTTGCCCGAGTTTTATAAATATACTCCCATTCTTCTCCAAGACTCTCAATGTCCGGTCCGCACATCTCTGGTGACAATCTTTCAATCTTCTATCCTGTTCTGCCTGATCTTCAATCTTCTCATTGTGGTTCAATGTAACTCGATAACTGTCGCACCTCGAATTAGCCACTTGTCCCAAACGATCCGACACAATGCTAGAAAATCACTCACTCATTGATACAAACAAACAGCGTACTGACCACTCTCCCTGTCCTCTCCACCGCTTCATACGCATGCCTTATATCATCCGTGAAAGCAAGTCCAGTTGCCGCTACGCCCCCCGCGGCAGAAGCCATAATAACTTTATTTCCCCTTCCATTCTGCTGATATGCATTTCCATGTCCATACCCATAACCACTTCCTCCTCTCTTCCCCGTCGAATAAGTCGCATTCTGCACCCAAGATTTCCTAGTCCCTCTCTGTACACATCTCCCACAAGTCCACGGTCTCGCCCTCGCCCACGCCGATGCCGATGCGAAATTAAGTCCCTTCATCTCATTCAACCTTGCGTCTCGTACACGTAGAACAAATTCCCATGCGAAACCCACACAAAACTCTCCTTGAGAAATTATCAAACACGATCCATCAATTCATAGAATTCCATTACAAGCAAAAGATTCATAAATAGGTGCTCAATGCAAAAGTGTTGAGGACTTATCTATCTGTATGGAAAAAAAAGTGGTAAAGTCCCTTGTTTAATGATCCCTGTCGATCGAACCCCGAAGATCGCATGACGTCCTCTATTTATTACTATTTATTTCCCATGTTCAAAAAAACCGTGCGATTATTTGAGTTCATCCACGTACTAGGTATATCTAATACAACTACGATATCGTACAAGCAAACAAGAAGAGAAATGTGAAGTTATTCAAATTCTTCTAATCAATTTACAAGAAGCATTTCACCATGGCTCCTCGCAAATTCAATTTAAATGGCAAGGTATCAATCATATTATCCCAATTCCCATTATCCACCCATTCATTCCCCTCCATCCCTCCCAGCTCCTTCCCAGCTCCCACTAACAACCCCTCCTTCTAGACCTTGACTGCTCCTCTAGCAGCCGCCACCATGGCACTACTCCTATTCACATACACCCGCACATCCATCCGGGCAGCCAAGCAGAATGCTCAAAAACATCGCGAAGCAGACGGTGGACAGATCGATTGGGCCAATGAAAGTTTAAGGCGTCATGGACAATTAGATGCGCCTGTGGAGCAAACGACCGTGAAACAATTACTGGGAACGGCAAAAGATAATTTGGAGGAGCTGAGGAGGAAAGGAAATGCGCCCGAGAGGCATGACGTGGAGAGGAAGCTGAGAGAGCGAGCGGCGAAGGGAAGAGAAGGTGGTTTTGCTGGGAAAGCAGAGTAATGTTGAATGAAAATAACAATGGAGACGGGAACGGTGTTTGGGTTTATTGAAGTGCACAGCTACTTCAACAGTTTGTATTTCGAGGTTACACGTAGGAGTTGGGGAGATCTTTACAAAACTGCACATCTAGGTCAAGGTGGAATATCAAACAATCATTTGCCATGATGGCTAATACCATCTATAAGTACAATTCCCCTGTTCACAAAAAGGTATCATTCAGATATGAACGTCTGTAATATCTTCCATAAACACAAAGGCCGCATCATGCTAACTCAATACCTAATGACTGAGTACATGATCGAACGCCCGCAAACTTCAAATGCTTTAAAATGCAAAAATGTTTCTTGGTTTCTTCATTACCTCGAACCTTGGAGGTGTGTGCCATATTTTTTTGAAGTTTATACATCTTGCCGAGAAGGATGGTCGAATATGTGAAACATTTACCAATCTTCTCCCGATTTTCGTAATCCTTCTGCCTTGGCATGATTTAAATGTTTCATAACATACTCATAGGTGAGCATGGTAGTTGTGGCCGCAGGTACCGCTCTCATCATATTCGTGCCCATACCTGCATAAAATGCCCTCCATCCTTCTTCGCGTAATATCGTTTTAAATGTCATTACAATTCCCCTATATTTCGGGACCGCTTGTTTGATTTGAGCAAGGGGGTTGGAAGCCCCGTGTTGATGGGAGTGTCCTTCTAGACCTCCCCTAAATGCGCCATATTCTGTTGAAGCAGCTGGCATGGATCTTTGTTGGGTTTGAAGTCTTGTCCGAATGACTTCGTGAGGATAGGTGGTAGAGCTTGCTATGACCTTACTGAGCACACTTGCAGATAACACTCCAAATAGATGAGCACTTTCATCACCTTCTGCTGACTCTCCCATCCCCTTGCCTGTGAACTTCTTCTTGAGATATTCATAAGCTGGAAACTGGACAGCCACGTGTGTCAAACCAAGTAGTGCAGGAGTCAGACCAGAATAAAAGGATAGGATTCCTTCAGTCCTGTACATCACTTTTGCTGCATCTAAAGTTGACCGATAATGCCAAGGTGGTCTGGCTCCGTTATTCTTTGCCTTGCGGCTAACTTGTGACATCAGACGTGTCTTTATAACCCAGATAGGATTGGTAACCATTGTCGATGAAGCTCCAGCAATTATTGAGGACCAAAAATTGACCACTACTGTATTATCTGTAGAGATTTATTTAGCTTCCATCGTCATACTTAAGATTTACTCATAATTCATACCGGTGTGAGGTGCAAAGAACTGTTTTGATCTACCATAGACCGTAAACCAAACTGCCCATGTAGGTAAATAACCAAGGATAATTGGACCAAGGCCTCGATACAATCCTTTCAACCCCTCTTCCCGCCATATCACCCTTCCAGTTCCAAGTAAACCATTATATACCGCTTGTCCCGCGGGTAGTGACCCTAGTCCTTGTGCGGCTCTGAAACCCCCTTGTGCTTGTAGTTTCGTCTTAATAACATCTAGTGGACAAGTGACAACTCCAGAAGTAAAACCACCGACCGCCCCCGCAAATGCATTGAATTCCCATTCCGCCCTTGTTCTAGCTACTCTCTCCAATCTAGTAATAGGTGAATCTCCTCCTCCAAACGTTAAACTCGATGTGAATTGTTGGGTGGTAGGTTGAGAGGACGCAAAATCCTCGGATCCCGATGATGATGGCGTGCTGCGTTCATGTGACATTGTAATTGTTGTTGGCGCAAATATCTAATAGCTTCTGCTACTTCAGCCAGAGGCAGGCAGAAGTGAATCTCGCCGAGAGGAAAGCCGCCGATGGGTTTGGAAGGCCTTCACTTGTTGTCGCCGTTCTTTTCTTGCAATCTCGTGTCCCGGTGTGCGGGGAAAGATCCCACGCAGCACGCCAGTGACACAACAGCTAACGGTTATCGCAGGCCATTGACAATCGCCTGAATGTTTGTAGAAGTTTCGTGGATTGTGCGAGCGTTGAAAAGTTGGAAAGGTGGGCTTTTGGGGGTTCTTTGAGGAAAGTGGGTTGAGGATTTTGTGGTTGAGGGAAACACCGGACTTCAAGACCGGCTCAAAATTCTCGGAAAGCTTATAAAATAGATTATTCAATCAATCGCTTGAGAAAAAGGGTCGAACCGCCAAGCCAAAGTAAGAAGCAGGTACAATTCCAAACGGAGGATGAAATCTTATGGATGAGCTTGTGATTGAATCTGATTTGATGATATTTATGATTATAAGGATGTCTTTTCGATGTTCTAGATATCAAAAGAAGAAAGAAGGTTGTGTGAGAAAGGTAGGCAAGTAGGTAGGTACACAAGAAATAGAACTACGAGTAGAATATCATAATTCTAATTCAACAAAGTGGGGGAAATCAACCCGTTTGGTTCGAGACAGGGAAAGCTTGATTTTGAAAGGCCTAGGTAGGTGGTGAGCGATGGATGGATGGATGGATGGATGATAGGAATGATATGATATACCGGTATGATAAGTTACCTACCTCCTACCAGTAGCATGATATGTATGAACAGTTGGAACTTGAGTATAATTGGTTTACTAGGTGTCGCTACACCTGGTATCTAGATGTTTTGTCTGCACCTACTCATATCCTATCCTACCATTAAGCGGTATTCAATGGCACAGCAGCATCTCTACTAGCATCTTATATTAACTATCATGTTAACCATCATCTAATAAGCTCCAGTGGTGATTGATGCATTGATACAACGTTCTAATTCTACTCGAGTAGCTAATCAATGTGGAAAGCCTCAATTAGACGAGTAGTTCTCCCAGTATTGGTATTGTGATCATCATGAACATTCTACTCCATATATACCATGTCATGATCTATTAAACAGCATATCTTCACACCCGAATTGAGGAAAGAAACCATTACATACACCTCTCAATCAAACCTCCATCTCAAACAAAGAAAATCGTCTCATCCCACATCCACATCCACATCCACATCCATCTCCACCTCTACTCGCCTTTCTCTCCATACAAAACTCATCTCATTGTGAACATTAATCCTGCCGATATCTTCCCCCACCCATTTTATTCCGTTCCGTCCCTCATTCCTCCCAACCAATCACGGACCCCTCAAACAACGCTGACTCGCTTACCTAATACACTCATAACTTTTGAACTTCACTCGCAATATACACCACCCAAATCGACGAATTCCCCTCTCTCCCCAATACCACCCCTCCAAATCCACCCATCATGTCTGCACCATCGTTAGCAAGCTGGATTTCCAAGAAGCCCGGGCTCTTGAAGATGATGAAGCCTTTGGCCTCATGGTACACCAATGCTGCTGGATACCGTCAGTTGGGATTAAGGTATGCGATATTTTTGATTGCACCTCAAATATGCAATACAGGAACATAAATGCATGGGAATTGGGATATGCAAAGCAGAGAAGAGAAACTAACATGTCACGAAACTACAGAGCCGATGATTTACTCCCCGAGGAATCCGAAGAGGTTCTTCTTGCGCTCAAGCGTTTACCGCAAAAGGAAGCTTATGATCGTGTTTTCCGTCTGCGAAGAGCTGTTCAGGTACGCACGCCATTGCTTGCTCAAGTCAATTGAGTAAACAAAAATTAGACGCACGACTGACAATCCTACAGTGTTCCGTCCAACATCAACTTTTGCCCAAGGATCAACACACCAAGCCCGAAGACGTGAGTCTCATTCATTTCTTCCAGCAGATTTCCACGCTCGTTCTAACCCATAAATTTCACAGGATTACGCATACCTCTCCCCCATCATTGCCGAGATCGAAGCCGAGGCCAAGGAACGTGCTGATTTGGAATCATTGACTATTACCAAGAAGAACTAGAGAGGAGAAAAGCAGGGGATGCAGACGAGGCGACGCTGGATATGTATATTTGGGAAGGCGGGAAAGTCAAGTGAAGTGAAGGAATGAGATGAGGCGAGAATTTTAGAGGATGGGGAATGAAAAGCACCGAGATGAGATGTGATGCTCTGTACTTTATAACGATGATCATCAATTCGAAAAACAAAAAGTCACTCTACTCTACATGATGGTTGTGTGAAGAAGGAAGATGAGATATCGTGCAACTTGACAACTTCGCTGTCTAGATAGATATCTGGCTGAGTTGGGGTCTGGAGCCAGTCGTGGCGAAACAATAAGAAGAAAAGATATCTCGACATTGTGACCAGCAAAGGGAAAGAAATGTCCAGAAACCCAAGCCGAGTCTAAATCTAGAGAACTCCTGATATGAATATCTACGAATCATGACATTAAACCAAAGTAAATCTCAAGCAAGCAAGCAAGCAAGCATCAGACATATCCTCGCCCCCTCTTCAATTACCCAATCATCCCATCCACTCCTCCAAAACTTTCGACTTTGCTCTGTCCTCCTCTCTCTTTCTCTTTCATCTCCATCTTCATCTCCATAACCCAATCTAGCCAAATCTCAAAGATCAAGGGTCTCCAGCTTCCTGATCTGATCTGATCTGATCTGTGAGACCAAACCCCATCAAGCCATCTCCCACCACCAGCAATCCAATCACATAACAGTATCACAAATAAGCATCACAAGAAGAAACGCACATCCAAATAACACAAGCCTCCTCTCATTCGCAAACCAGTGTATTTACCCAGTAAGCTATTCTATCTATTCCACTCTCTAGTCTCCTCTCCTCTCCTCTCCTCTCCTCTCCTTTCCTTCCTTTCCTTCCTTTCCCAAACCCTTTGATATCCTCTCAGGATCACCCAACTAACTATTCGCACCCACATCCATACACCCACCCACCAACCCACCCACCCATCCGTCCATCCATTATTCATAGATACCTCAATATCCATACCCATAGAAACATTTACAAATCTCACAACCTCTACTCCCTCTTAACCACATTCGCACTCTCGTTCGCATTCTCATTAAATCCCACCTTCCTATTCATCATCCTCCATTTTTCATCCAGTGCACCACAGAAGAAATAAGACCATTCATAAACAAATCGCAATTGGGACATTTCTATTACAGTGGTATGCTGTCCTTGCAACCATGCTTGCTAACAAGCCCAAGCCCTTATCTTCATTCGTAAAAAAAATGATCAAACTCCCGGAAGCCCTAGAATGAAAAATGAAAAAAGTTCGGTACAAGAAATCTCGAAGTTAAAAAACCCCCTTCGAAAATAGGTTGGGGGGGATCATTTTTCCCCTCCTTTTTGAATGTTGATTCCTTTTCCGAATCCAATCATACAAAATCTTCTCTTTCTGACTAAAAAAACTCCGTGTATGCATCAAGACGTGTCCGAACGAATTTCTTAATACAGTGGCATCTCAAATGTTGTTACCGGGCTTCTCCTCCGTGTCCATGTGCCAGACGACATAGTTGGGCAATCCAATAACTTCATACCCTGCTCTCTTGGCCATTTTTGCGAACCCTTCAGTCTCGGCTTGATTTTCGAATGCGTAGGCGGGGAAGTTAATTCCTATACATTGGTCAATAATTTGCCCTCTTCAAAATTACCTGGCACAATTACCTGATCTGTGAACATCTGCCTTGACAATAATGTTGACTCCACCAATACCATCAAGCTTAACTTCCTCATCCTTGTTTTCTCGCCAGTTACCCATCAAAGCCATGTAAGTGCGACCAGTATCGAATTCTTTATAACCTGAGTATTGTTAATATAGTGACACACAAAAATTCGAAATTAATACATACCTTCGACAATAACTGTGTCTTTGTCAAGTTTTGAGGCAAGCTTAAGTGCTTTATCCGACTCGATCCATGAGTTGTAATCAACTAGAGACAATTAGCATCCATCGCAGACTTCCGAGTGTGGTCTAGACTTACATCGACCCTCAATATCAACCCCATCACGGTATCGATGAAACCAGACATCTGCAAAAGTCAGTAGATGTAACGAATCCTACAAAAGAGAAATATTCATACTTGGAACAATGATATCTCTATCGTGAGCAATGAAATCCTCAATGATCTTCTCGGGACTATCAACGATGTCTGCATCTCTCCAGTAGACCCATGAATGTTCTGGTTTCAATGCCGCAGATAAGAGATAGTTTCTGGCACGAGCCATGATCTTTCTTCGGGGTGCCTGAGCTGCATATGCATGACGTTCCTCAACGGTCTGGCCCGAAACCGCACCAAAGTCCTTTTGAACAATCAAAGCACTGTTGAATGCCTCAGTTTCCTTTCCGTCCTGAATTCTGTCGAGTTCTGCAGCAAGGACAGCGAGAGTGTCATCAGATGAATCGCCAACCAAGAAAGCAAGATCAATCAAATCGTGTGGGTATGACAAGAGTGAGAGTAAATCAAAGTATTTTGGCAAATATGACGCGGCATCTCGGAGAGGGGTCAAGATCAAAATTCGTTCCTTGTTCGCAATTGCTTTTGTAGTAGATCGGATAGGGTTGAGGTCGACACTTTTAATCGTGGTAGAATTGACCACAACTGGCTCATGATGATTAAAGATAACTGGTGTTTGTAAATGCGCGTTCCAGTCGGCCTGTTCATTCAATGTCATCTGCATCGGTGGTTTCGAAGGTCCCCAACAATAATATCTTTAAACACAGTACCAAATCAGCGTTGTTCGTCTCCTCTGGTATTCACTGATAAGCCATAAGTGATGTGCTTGCTTACCTTTGCATCTCTTGTGCTGAAGTACTAATTCCTCTCCATAATAATACAACGACGCCAGCTAACGCTACACATAGTAAAAATCGCGTCCTTGTAAGAAATACCCATATCGCTCTCGCAGGCGGTAATTGTGCTTTTGTAGCCTTCCAATTCATGCCACCCTTTGGACCCAACATGGCGAAACCCCTGTGGCTTCAAAACCACCAGTAACAAAAGTAGATTATATCAATTCGAGATCGCAGACGTAGAAGTAAAAGCGCCCCGAAATTGTGTTGCAAACGATGGTGAAATTGCAAGCTCTTTGACACTAAAATCAGGGAGATTTGGTAGATCTGAAGAAGTTGAGGAGGTCGCGAGTGGCAGGGAGATCCGTTCAGAGTGGCCTCGAGGTTCCTACACGAATTTAGAAATAGAAATTATGCCAAGAGTGTATAAGCGAATGAAAAGAGAGGAACTAGACCTTTGTAATATTTATTGAATTTTGAGGGGAACTCCACACAGAAGGAGAAGTTGGGAAGATGGAGAGGAGAAGTATATATTGAGTATTTTCTTTTATACTTGAGATATACGTACAATATATTCACTCATATACGTTTGAGCTGTTGAAAGTGTTGTGTTATTCACTGCCACCCACACCACTATCTATCGATTAATGCTGGAATGATTTTTTTACATACACTACCGTCTGATATTCGTACTCTTATCAAGGTATATTGCTTGTGTTGCGTTTGCCAATGCCCATGCCCATGCCAATTTTTCCTTCCTGTATGTCAATCAATGTCCGGACTCGCGAGTTCGCCTCTATCTGGATCGGATTACCTGGCCAAAAAAGGAGTCATCACGTGAATTGACTATTTTCCAATGAATTTGAAACATAGGTATGGTACTTGAGCTTACAGTAGAGTTGGAGTTATCATCTGAAGTCGAGATAATCATCTGTTTGTTTGAGATCAAATATGTGAATGAGCATGCAGGTATCTGTCACTCTGAAGTATTGATCAAATCACTAATACCTTGAGATAGTGGAAATATCTTGCTTACAATTCAGTAATTAGGCTACACAGAGTTCTGTCATTCAGATTCATCAATTCATCAATTAAACACTTTTCTCTGCAATCACCAAAACAATACAAAATGTCTACAAGACGATCAGCTCGTTTAAGTGCAGCTTCTATTATCACCGAGAAACTATCTGCAACTACGTCTGCTTCTCCTATGGGGAAAACTACCAAGGCTATCATTGGAAATGGCCCAACAGGAGCTAAGGTGAAAGCCAGCAGGAAGAGAAAGGCTGTATCTTCAGAGATACCAGATTCTTCACTACTTCCCATACTATCAAGCCCCCCGAAAAAGGAGGCTATATCTCCAGAAGAATCCGAACCTTCTCTGCCTCCCATGAAACCAGACCCCAAAAAGAGGAAAATTGCTTCGAATGAATCGTCCGAGTCCCTATCCACCAAAAATGCACCTATATCAACCCCAAAGAAAAAGAAGACCTCTCCAATTCTTCCACCTCCAGTGACTCCCACTCCGGCAGCTATCGGGTCAATGTCTAGTCCTTATAAAGACATTGATGATAGTATGCCTCCACCTTCTATTCCCGTTGATCGTCTTGCAGTTCTTAATGGAACAAATGCTCCCTTGGTAACACCTGAAACTCATCGACTCCTTGCCAATAAATCTATGGACGAAGTATCTCCGTCGAAGCTACCTTCAGTAAAAGTATCAACCTCCGATGTTTTGAACAAAGCTATAGAGCACTTGATCAAAGTTGAGCCCAAGTTGAAGCCAATCATTGAGAAACACCCATGTAAGATGTTCTCCGCTGAGGGGTTAGCTGAAGAGATTGAACCGTTCAGGGCGTTAGTCAGTGGGATTATATCGCAACAGGTAGGAAAGATCTTAGAAACAAACAATTTTTTCTTCGTATATGTATAGTCCTGACATGGAATTAGGTCTCTGGTGCAGCAGCCAAATCTATCAAGGCTAAATTTGTAGCTCTCTTCAATCCCTCTGATTCAGATCCATCCGCTCATACATTTCCTACCCCTTCTGCTATTGTAGCTACTGACATAGCTAATCGTGAGCACAATCCTTTACTTATACATTATCTCCAACCTCAATATCTTCATACTCCTACCCATTCAACTTACCTTTCTAACCCTCTTTTACCTCCCCTTCTCACTAACAAACTCAGTCCGCA